ATCGCGAAGGACACACCGGGCGTTGGGGATCGCGGGACGATCTCCGGCCACCGTAAGCGCGGGCCTGCGGACGGCGAGCATGGGTGGCTCCCCGTCCAACCAGAAACAGACCCGAGCGTACGGCGCGTTGTTTTCCGCGCGCGCCTCAAAGAGCCATCAGACCACCACAGATGAGGCCCAATAGGGCCGATGCCGATTCGGAGTCGCGGAAAACCTAACGGGTAACCGGGGCTCCGGCTCGACGTGCAGGAGAAGGAACGGGGTGGATTTTAGTTAGTAAGAGTCTGACACTCCCTTCCGCCTCACCCAGGCGGGAGCAGTCATTCGATGATTTTCCCCCCTTTAAAAAAAAGTCGGCCATCATTGAACCTACTTCCTAACATTTTTTTTTCGACATTTCATTTTTCCTTTACGGTGAGTTCCAAAAATAACCACAAAAGTAACGGTTTCTTAGACAACACAAATACGAAGGTTTTTTAAAAGAAACATGTATTAAAAATAACAAGATCCTTCACTGCTCATATCTCTCTACAGCATCAAGCAATCCTCTTTGACGTCAGTCCGCCAATGTATCAATTTACACAGAATTTACTCTGTATTAAACCGTGGAAGCATTTTCAACTTTATCTTCGCGTGAATATGGTTTAATTTAGTTCTTTGCACCCCTGTTAGTATATTATTTTCTCCTTTGACTTTTATAGGGTGTTTTCAGAGTATATTTTCTTAGACTCACTAGTAGTTTTGTTAGTAATTTTCATGCTAATATAGAATCAGTGAAGGAAAACGTATTATTTATACGCGTTCATTGAGATCGGAACTGGGGTCAGTTCTATTTTTATTTGAATAGAATATGTTAGTGCCTATAATATGAGATGATGTATGTTAAAATAGGTCTAGGTCTATTAGCGGTTTTGTGTAAGAAAACGTTTTTTTTATTGCATAGGCCGGTAAACGAGCAAACGAATCACCTGATGGTAATCAATGGTCCGCAGCCCATGGACACTTGAAACACTAAGGCGTTACAAGTGCGTTACCGGCCTTTTGGAAATTGGGAATTCGAGGATTGTAGAGGATTTGGGGATTCGGGAGACTAGGGAGGGGTGGTTGATGAGGGGGTGATTGGGCCTCCGCAAATCTCACTCACACGACGAAACACAACGCAAGCGTAGTTTCACTTCGGTTTTCTGTGAGGCCGTGGTATCACTCCAGTCGGCCGTTCAATCCCATCAGCCGTTTTGACGTAAAAAAGCAACAAACACACACACACGCACACATACATCCTCACAAACTTTCACATTTATAATATTAGTAGGATTAGTAAAATTATCTCTATACACCGTCATTAGGTACTTTATTTATTAAAGCTTCATGCACAAAGTATACATTAGGTAGACTTAATGCTGCAGACATTTTTTCCCAGTCTAACCTTTGGGTGCTACAGAGAACAGTTAATGGTAGGAGCAAGAAGCAAGCAACGATTTCATTGCGCAAATAGAAGATACACTTACATATTTTAGTGATAAACATAAATGAACATAATTATAATATATTAGCGGACCCGACAGACGTTGTTCTGCATGTAATACTTACTACTTCTTATCTTCGAGACCGTTTCTCCTTGGTGCGCCCTCCTGAAGTCCTTACTCGTTCTCATCTTAAATCCTATCTTAAAATTGTGCCCCATAATACCGACTTCTACTCCTACTCCTTCTCCGTTCATGCAGTGAGACTATGGACATAGTATAAAGAACACAGTAGGTTATCTAAGGCCGCCCGCCGAGTTATTAGCCTACTCTTGCGTTGATCCCCAGGGTTGTCACTTTTACTTTTTGTTAATATTTTCGAACAAGCAGCACTTGATCTAAATTTATGAAATTAAAAGCATATTATGATTGAATATTTTATCAATTTATAAATATAAAAAGCTTATAAAAAGATTATTAACTTCTTAAAATAAACTTTAGCTCTATACATAGTATTCAGAAAGTAAATTTGGGAATACCTTTATATGGAAAAATGCGACACGGCCACGCTCTTAACAAATCAGATAAACTGTGAAATAAACAATACAATACCACATTTTCTTATAATATTTAAGTATAGTAGTTAGTAGGTAATTCGTCTTTCTGGTTGAGTAGGAACTATGAAGAATGATAAGAGTAAGAATAAGTAAGTAGGTATCTCATCATCAAGTACCTACAAATTATATTATGCTAGAAAAAGTGACTAGCTTACCTTTCCTGTTCAATAGGTACCTACTTAATCTGAACAGAGACTTTTCTGGAATCGATTAATTATAAGACACCCAAACACACAGCAATACGTTCTCTAACGGTTATCAGACATTTTTATTTCATTTAACAGTGCCGAAAAGTGATGCGCGCGCGAACCTCGTGCAGTGTTAGCCCTGCCTGGCGCACTGAGAAACGGGTCGAGATTTTGTTAAAGTGTGCGTGCGTCGACGCATAGATACTATGGCGCACACATATAAGCCGCGCGCGGAGCATTTGTATGAAGATAACCTACTTTGTTCTTTATACTATGCTATGGAACTCGCTCCCGCCGAACATTCGGGACGCCAAGTCTATCTCTATCTTTAAGAGACAAGTGAGAGAACATTATCTTTCCTCCTGAAATATAGATTTGTTTTTCTATATTTATTATAATGTATTATAATTGTATTATATTTATTTGTTATTGTTTATTATTGTTAATTCTATTGTTTCTTCGGTCTATTACTTTTTTTTTATTAATTGATTTTTATCTTGTTTGTGTAACACACTATGTGTCTCTGTATTGTTATTTCTTTTCCTGCCACAGGCCCACAGGAAGAAATTCCAGTTGGAATATGTGGGGCCTATGTACTCTGTTTTTTATTATGTATTGTCCTCTGTGTTGAATGTGTGTACATAAATTAATAAATAAATAAATAAATAAATAAATACAATAATAGTAATATATAACCTAGATACTGACTGCAGCGCCATCTGCCGGGCTGATTTGTGAATTTAAACCATCCAGGGCGCCACTCAAACGCATACAGAAAGAAATATTTAAATCGGTCAAGCCGTTTAGAAGGAGTTCAATGACATACACACGTACAGCAGAATTATATACGTAAAAGATATACCTACACACGAGTACAGTACACTATACATGCATACATATATACATCTACTACTCACAAAGCTACAAAATATATGGTTTTGATATAAAATTTCCACAAACACTTGGAATGCATTTGAAAACTCCGGAGTGAAAGTCCGTGTAGAGGCATTAGATCCTTTTATCTGCAGAACAAATGACTTGTACACTGCGGACCACAATTAAGTGGACACTTTGTTTATTTTAGGATTTACTCGGATAAGAAATAGGGCTTGATAAAGTGTTTGCTAAGTGTTGTTTAAGGTTAACGTTTGTGTAATTATTTTAGGACTGTGTTCACAAATATTTTATTCTGGCCTAAAAAATAATTGAGATACAGTATTATCCAACAAAAAGAATACCTAGTAGATCTAAACGAATGAATTTCAAAAAATTCTGCCTAGTCTAGAAAATCCAAGCTTAAATAAACATTCAACTATTTTATTCTCAGAAAACTGAATGAAATAATGCTTTAGCTCGAACTCAAAATCATCGCTAACGATCCTATTAAAAACAACCATCGTTTATTTATGGTAATAAAATTGTACTCGACGTACTTTGTATTCTGACGCTAATGAACGATAAAAACACAGTGAACTCCTATTATTTTTTGGTTGAAAAACAATTTTGAGAAAGGAGTTTTATTTCTTGAATAAGTCCAATGACTTATCTATCCTATTTTTTTGTCTTATAGCTCACTAGCTATAAGATAAAAAATAGGTAGTTGTTTGTCATTTAGACAGAGATTCAAAAGCTTTAATTTTTTGAATATTACTATTTATAAGATTCTAAAGAAATTGTACCTAACGTTATTTAGAGTATTATCGTGTTGTAAAGATTTATTGAACGTAAGCGGCTGTTTCTTATGAAATAAATTATACATTGGGAAGTTCGATGTTGCTATCAATATTTTGATTCACCCTGTGTGACCACGTAACATTTTATATCTTTTTTTTAAGGGGGGAAAATCATCGAATGACTGCTCCCGCCTGGGTGAGGCGGAAGGGAGTGTCAGACTGTAACATTTTATATCTGGAAGTGGAACAAAACGTAGATAGATCAGTAGCCATATTAAACAGGAAATATATTTAATATAAATATCACAATATGTGTGCATAATTTATTTGCTCGCCACTTTAACCTCTATCACGTCGAGTTAGCATGTCAAAACTTTTTGGAAGTGAAGTCTGTTTGTTTCATAATGTTGTCTCTGAAACTTTAAAATATTCATATAATGGTCAATTACTCCGCTTAAATTTTTGTATTTTAGTTAATATTATATAGATAACATTACGCCTTTTATCCCCGAAGGGGTAGGCAGAGGAGCACATTACGGCACTTAATGCCACTGTACAATATAACACCCACTTTTCACTATTTATGTTATGAGTCCCATGTAATAGGGGGTGAGCCTATAGCCATATACCGGGCACAATTCCAGACTCCGTGCTACCACTGAGATTTTTTTTAAAAACCCATTTGTAATTGGCCCGACCCGGGAATCGAACCCTTTGCCCAGCAGTCGCATTTGCGACTACTCGGCCAACGAGGCTGTCAAACTACCACTTGGCCTAATTAGGCAAATTGGTAGTTTCAGACAAGCGACGCCACCCATGGACATGCGAAATACCAGAGGCGTTACAAATGCGTTTTGGGGGTTAGGATATAGAAGATTGTTGGGGATTCGGGGATTACGAAGCTTAGGAAGGGGGGCAATTGGGCTTCCACAACTACATGCATTAAGTTATTATTTTATCTAAAAACTCCAAAATTTATCAAAAAAGTTACAATATTCTCCAATGAAATACTTTGCTTTGGACACCTTTGACGTAACCATAACAATTTTCACGTTATAGGAAAGGAGAACCAATTTATTAAATCCCGATGAAAAGAATGAAATAGTGGAAACTATGCCGGTCATCCCTGGGTTTTATCTGCAGAAACCAAATGAAATATCCAGTTCCTTATTTAAAAACCCAACGCAATGGCCAGACGCTTTATTCAGCAATTTAAACAGTATAAATAAGAGGTACGTTGTCTATAATTTGTATCGACATACTATTGTTTTGATATGATACTTATACTATATTTTATACCGTGTTTTTATTGTAGCCAAACTGAGGACAAAGTTATAAAGGACATTACAAGGGACGGCTATTTAGATGTAAGTTTTTTGTCTTTGTTATCAATTTGACTTTGTTTATCAAAAGTTTGTATAAAACTTCCATTAGCCCTATAAACTCGTCGCGGAGAACCCGAACGGGTTACCGGGGCTCCGGCTCAAAGTGCAGGAGAAGGAACGGGGTGGTTTTTAGTCAGTAAGAGCCTGACACTCCCTCCCGCCTCACCCAGGCGGGAGATGTCATTCAATGATTTTCACCATTTAAAAAAAGCCCTATAAACTCATGTCATATACCAAAGTGCATACACATTTTCCTTCCGTTTATTTTAACAGGCAAAGATAATAAAAGCTGTCAAGAATCTCAATAAATATAGAGAAAGTCAGAAGTAAGTACTAACATTTATAATTAAACGACACTCAATTTGAAAAGAGGCTTAGATTTAGTTTTGTCGTTAGAAATCCTCTGTATAATGACAAAGACAGCGATAGGGTAGATGACTAATTTTTATTCTAATGTCCATCTGGTAGATTATTTTAAATCATTAGACACGTATTTTTTATTTTCTTACTGAAACGAATACTTTCGACGATATATTGTTTTGAAATGTCGCGTGACGTCACTTCTATGTACATTTTATACGTAGAAATGACGTTTTAGCCCCCACTCCCAAACTTTGATTCGTTATATCTATCATTTTATTATTCCTACATCAAAATAAAAAAATACATGTCTTATATTTTTTTCATTATCTAACTGACGGACTAATTAGATTTCTAATTTTCATACCCCGTCATCATCCCTATTGTGGTACTATACGTACGTAATCGTGGACTAAAATATAGATTTACGTACAATTTAAAATTGAGTAGTTTTTCAGTATTCGAGCGTTAGTATATCAGATAACCTTGAAATTAAGCTCAACCTACATCTAATTTTTTGTTAATTTGTGTTATTTCATTCTAGGTCTTCTATCGATAAATTAGGGATATGGAAATCAAACAGTAACGGTGATGATAATGTTCAGAACGCTCCAGTAAAAGTATTAGTGGTAAATATTTTTATTATTACACATAATTACACTTATATATTATGTTGCTATACTGTTATCAGTAGCAATAAAACTTATGAGCCGCCTTAAAGCCGCGGAAAAAGGTAACCTGTATCATATATACTTAATTTTAATTTTTTAACTTATACACTATTTTATTTAGCTGACGAGATTGTTTATTTGTTAATCTCCAGAATTACTAAACAGATATAAATATTTTATTTGTACTGGATAGTCTATTTATCGAAGAAGCCTATATGCTACAAAACATCACGCTAAGGTCAACAGAAGCAGAGCAGAACAGATGAAACCGCGCGGCAGTAGCTAGTTCAATAATACAGTACATCCGTTATGTGTACCTTCAAAAAATTCAATTAATATTTAGTCTGCCTCGTTGGCCGAATGGTCGCAAGTGTGACTGCCGAGCAAGGGGTCTCGGGTTCGATTCCCGGGCCGGGCAAAGTATTATTGAGTTTTAATTCTCAGTAGTAGCACGAAGTCTGGAATTGTGGCTGGTATATAGTAATAGGCTCACCCCCTATTACATGAGACTCATAACATAAACAGTGGGGGTGCGGTGCCAGAAGACCTCCCCGTGGTGCACCCTGGGTGCGGGCGACAGTCTCCCTAGCGGGGGTGATAGGGTTGGAGTGACTGTCGCCCGCAGCAGACTTCTGGACTGGGCGGGCGAACCCGATAGGGTTCTGGAGGCGGCGGACTGTGTGCGGAGGCTCATAGCCCGCGCTTCCGAGGGGTGTTTCTCCGCCCGTCTCTCTGGACATAGCAGAGAGCGTGGCGGAGAGGCAAAGGCGGTGCTCGTTGTGCACTCACCCTGCCAGCGAGCAGCATCGGGACACAAGCTGTCCCCGATTGCAGCCGTCGATATCGTAATCCGTAAGGAGCTCACGGTCATGTTTTGTGACTCTGAACGGGACGAGGGTCTTGGCTTGGTCGCCCGGACCGCGAGGAAGATAACCTCTATAAAAAATTCCTCCAATACTAAGTTCTGGTGCGCGGCGAGAGTATGCATGGCTGAGGAGTAGTGTCAGTCGCGAGCGCACCCCCAGCTAGGGGACCAGTGGAACCTCTAGTTGGGAAACAAATGAACACTTACCCAGGTACAGGGGGCACTGCCTGGGTGGACCGAATATTTCCCCCATACTCGTGGGAATTGTATGGAGAAAATATCTAAATCAAAACCACAACCGGAGGAGGAGAGTGCGGGTGAGCTTGGCTCGCCTGCGGTAGCGGGAGAAGGGAGCCCAAGTGGCTCCGGGACTCGTGGTGAGGCGCTGGACTCGTCCAGCAGGCCCCACACACGGGAGTCTAGTCGAAGGGGGTCGGACTCAGAGTCCGACACAACATTGGCGGAGCGGCTGAGCGTGAGCTCGAAAGGCTCACGCCGCCGCGCGACGGGACGTTCAACGCCCCAGGCTGGAGGAGGACAGTTTGTCCCCGTCCTCCGGCGCTCAGGAGGCGCCTCCCCCCAAGGTCCCCACGGCAGCGCGGGGTAGGGGCGGCAAGGGCAGCGGTCGCCGGAAACCGGCACCAGCTGCCTGCGCGGAGTCAGCCGAGCACTGGCTGCGGAGGGCAGGGCTCTTTCGAGCACTGCCCGTTCGGAGTCCTCTGCGGCCGAGATGTCCGGCGTGGAGATGTCGGAGGGCGAGCGCGGCTCTGAGAGCGAGAGCTGCTCCGGGGGCCTCGAACAGGCCATTACGGCGGAGCTCTACAAGCTGGCGTTGGGGAAATCCCAGCCGGTTAGGCTCCGCCTCCTCAAGGCGGCGGCGGCCACCATTACGGAGGCGGCCTTGGAGCACGTGCGGTGCCCACTGCGGGGAAACGTGCGCTCTGAGCTGGCCGAGATGCGGCGAGAGCTGGCGCGCTTGGCGGCCTCCAATGCGGCTCTGGAGGCCGAGCTGCGGACGGCCAGGGCCGAGCTCGCCGCTGCTCGCGGCAGTCGCTCCCAGCCCCCGGCGGAGGCCGACGTAGTCGGACTGCTGCGGGCGGAGATGGCTGCCTTCCAGCGACGTTTCGACGTGCTGGAGGGTAGGCTCTTGCGCCCCCGCTCGCGACGAGTCAGGTCGCCCCCGCGGTCCCGCGGTCGTACGCGGCCGCTGCGGCCAAGCCTTCGACCTCGGGTCAGGCTAGCCGCAGCTCCCAACCGCCGGCAAAGGCGCGACCGGCTGCCCCAGCGAGGGCCTCGGCGCCCCCGCCGGCGCAGACCCCGGCTGCGCCGACGGCGCCTGCGCCTGCGCCCGCTGGGCGCAAAAAGAGGAGGGGCACTCCGGCCCGGCAGGCTGGGGTTGCGGCGGCGGCGGCGGAACCCGCCCCGCAAGCAGAGGATGGCGGCGGATGGCAAATCGCCGGCGAGGCGAGGAGAGTCGCCAAGGAGGGCCGGAAGCGCCGAAAAAAGGCGCAGCGGCACGACGGCAGCAGCAGCGCAAGGGAGAAACGCGCTGCTGCCTGCTCCTCGCCCCTAAGACCGCGGCTGTGGTCATCACCCTACAGCCTGAAGCGGTCAATAGGGGCGTCACATATGGCGACGTCCTCGCCAAAAAAGGGGGCGGGACTCCTGCGGAGTTCGGGGCCCCGGACGGGTTCGCGGTCAAGGTGACCGCTACCGGAGCCCGTCTTTTGGAGGTCCCCGGCGCGACCAGCGGCCCATCGGCCGACGCCCTGGCCGAGAGGCTTAGGGCGTGCCTCGGTGCGGACGAGGCCCGCGTGTCCAGGCCACCAAATGCCTGGATGTCAGGATTTTGGGCCTGGACGACTCCGTCACGGAGAGTGAGGTGGTGGCCGCTGTGGCCAGGACGGGAGGGTGCCCTGCTGACCAGGTCAGGGTGGGCACCATACGTCCGGACAACTCGGGGCTGCGCACGGTGGTGGTGAGCTGCCCCGTCACAGCGGCCAAAACATTAAAGGAGGGCAAAAGGCTCTTGGTGGGATGGGTCTCGGCGCAGGTCAAGCTGCTCGAGACCCGGCCTCTGAGGTGCTACCGCTGTCACGTGGGGGAGCACGTGAGTGTCAAATGCACCTCGGAGGTGGACCGCAGCGACTGTTGCTTCCGCTGCGGTCGGCCCGGTCACAAGGCCGGCTCGTGCAACGCCCCGCTGCACTGCAACGCATGTGCGGCGGCTGGCAAGCCGGCCAATCACCGGGTCGGGAGCAAGGGCTCCCCTCCTGCAAAAAGGGCAAAGGTAGGCCCTCCGCCGCCCCTGCCGTTTCCGCCGCCGCCGCCGCCACTGCCACCGCAGTCGCCGCTGCCGCCACTGAGGAGGTCGGAATGGACTGTCAATAGTGGCCATTCCGCCTCCTCCAGGCGAACATCAACCACTGCGCCGCTGCTCAGGATCTCCTGCTCCAGAGCATGGCGCAGTGGTCGATCAATGTCGCCGTGGTCTCCGAGCCGTATTTTGTCCTGCCCAGGGATCACTGGGTGGCGGACCTGGACGGCTCGGTGACCATCATCTCGTCGGCCGCCGCCGGTACCCCGACTCTTGAGGCTGCTCAAAGAGGCCGGGGTTGTGTCGCAGCACGGTTCGGAGAGCTCGCTGTGGTGGGCGTGTACTTCTCTCCGAACCGAACTCTCGCCGAGTTCCACAACTCCTTGAGGGAGTTGGTCACTGTCGTCGTCGGGTTCCGTTCCCTCCCCGTGCTCGTCCTCGGGGACTTCAACGCCAAAAACTTGGCTTGGGGTTCCCGGTTCACCGACGTCCGGGGTAGGATGGTGGAAGACTGGGCCCTTGAGACAGGCCTAGTCGTCCTGAACCGGGGTTCTGTCCCCACGTGTGTGCGGATGCAGGGCGAGTCGGTGGTGGACATCTGTTCGCCAGCCCTGCTCTGTCACCGCGTATTGTTGGCTGGCGCGTCATGGAGGAGGTGGAGACGTACTCCGACCACCGGTATATCCGGTTCGACGTCTCCGCCGAGTCCGCAGACCCGCCGGTCAGACAGGCCCCATGTGGCCCGCGTTGGGCGCTGAAACAGCTGGACCGGGAGCTGCTCCTGGAAGCCGCCATCGTGCAGGCCTGGGTGATACCACCGGTCAGGCCTGCCGACATAGACGATGAGGCCAAGTGGCTCCAGGACGCCATGTCCAGGATCTGTGACGTGGCGATGCCCCGGATCCGGTCGAGGCAAAAGCGCCAGGTGTACTGGTGGTCGCAAGAGCTAGCAGCTCTACGCAAGGCGTGCACTGCTGCGCGACGCCAGTACACTAGGCACCGCAGGCGCCGCATCCGTCCTCCTAATGCGGAGGCGAGAGAGGCGGAGCTGTACGAGGGATTCAGGGCGGCCAAGGCCCTCCTCAAGGTGGAGATATTGCGGGCCAAGGAGGAGGCCCGCCGAGAGATGCTGGGGACTCTGGACAGAGATCCGTGGGGACGCCCGTACCGGATGGTACGCGACAAGCTCCGCGCCTGGGCTCCCCCGCTCACCCAGAGTCTCCGGCAAGAAGTCTTGGAGGAGGTGATTGGCCCTGTTCCCTCGACTGTGGAGGGGGTTCACCCCTCCGTATATGACTCCGCCCCCTGCGGTGCCCGACGCGGGCTACAGCGACGACGACGACGACATCGTCCCAGAGGTGACCGAGGCAGAATTGAGAGCGGCGGTGCGCCGGATGGGCGCCAAGAACACCGCCCCGGGACCCGACGGCCTGCATGGCAAGGCATGGGTCCTGGCCTCAGAGGCTCTCGGGCCTCGATTGATTGGTCTCTACAGCGCATGTCTGGAGAGAGGCCAGTTCCCGCTTCTCTGGAAAGCGGGAAAACTGGTCCTCGTGCGGAAGACGGGGCGCCCTGCGGACTCTCCGTCCGCGTACCGGCCCATAGTGTTGCTCGACGAGGTGGGGAAAGTCTTCGAAAGAATCATTTCGAACCGCCTCGTCGCGCACCTGACGGACATTGGGCCGGACTTGTCGGACGGCCAGTTCGGCTTCCGCAGAGGGCGCTCCACGGTGGACGCCATCATGCGCGTTAGAGACCTCACGACGGGGACTGCAGTGTCCAGGGGTAAGGTCGTAGTGGCGGTGTCTCTGGACATCGCCAACGCCTTCAACTCCCTGCCCTGGAGCTGCATCTTGGAGGCACTCCGATATCATCGGGTGCCTACCTACCTCCGTCGTGTAATCGAGGCTTACCTGACGGACAGGTCCGTCAGCTACCCCGGTCACCGGGGCGAGTGGAACCGGCGAGAGATGTCACGCGGTGTTCCGCAGGGTTCGGTTCTGGGGCCGCTCCTGTGGAACATCGGCTATGACTGGGTGCTGCGCACCGACCTCCCGAACGGCGTTAGCACTATATGCTACGCCGACGATACGCTGGTGGCGCACGGGAGGTCACACCAGGCGGCGGCCGACTTAATGGCGACAGCGGTTGCGACAGTCGTTGAGAAATCCGGCAGTTGGGACTCGAGGTGGCGCTCCACAAGTCCGAGGCCATGTGTTTTCATGGCCGCGGGAACGCGCCACCTCCGGGTGGGTCCCAAATAACGGCGGGAGGGAGTTACCATCGGCGTCGAGAGACGACGATGAAGTACCTAGGACTCGTCCTCGACAGTCGGTGGAACTTCATAGAACACTTCCGACGTTTGGCTCCAAAGTTGGAGAGGACGGGGGCTGCGTTTAAACGCATCCTCCCCAACCTCGGGGGGCCAAACGCCTCCTGCCGGAGGTTATACGCCGGGGTCGTGCGGTCCATGGCCCTCTACGGCGCCCCTGTTTGGGCGCCTAACCTGTTGCGGCGTCCCGCTCGGACGCTGCTCATGGCACAGAGGGTCATGGCGATCCGAATGATCCGCGGATACCGCACGATCTCTGGGGAGTCGGCGAACCTCCTTGCCGGATTACCGCCGTGGGATCTGGAGGCGAAGGTGCTCGCGCGCGTGCACAGCATGCGCGCGGAGGCACGTCGCCGGGGCGAAACTCCGCTGCCGCGCCAGATAAGTGCGTGGCGGGATGAGCTCCGGCGCGATCTCATGGCGGAATGGCAGCAACGACTGTCGCAACCGAGGGCTGGGCTCGCTGCCATCGCAGCGGTAAGTCCCCTCTTTGAGGAGTGGCTTGAGAGACGCTACGGCGTCCTCACCTACCGCCTGACGCAGGTCCTCACCGGACATGGCAGTTTCGGGAGGTACCTGTGTCTGATGGGGCGGGAGGAAACGCCCGGGTGTCATCACTGCGAGGACCGCCCTGAGGACACGGTGGAACACACGTGGGAGAATGCCCTTCGTGGGCTGAGCACCGCCGTGTCCTCAGGGAAGTGATCGGCGATGGCGACCTCTCGCGTCCGGGCCTAGTGCAGGCCATGATGCGGAGCGAGGGGGATTGGGATGCCGTCTCCTCCTTTTGCGAAGCAGTCATGCTAGCTAAGGAGGAGGCGGGACGCGTGAGGCAGCGAAGCGCTGCCTCCTCGCAACCCAGCCATCGCGAAGGACACACCGGGCGTCGGGGATCGCGGGACGATCTCCGGCCACCGTAAGCGCGGGCCTGCGGACGGCGAGCATGGGTGGCTCCCCGTCCGACCAGAAACAGACCCGAGCGTACGGCGCGTCGCGTTCCGCGCGCGCCTCAAAGAGCCATCAGACCACCACAGATGGGGCCCAATAGGGCCGATGCCGATTCGGAGTCGCGGAGAACCTAACGGGTAACCGGGGCTCCGGCTCGACGTGCAGGAGAAGGAACGGGGTGGTTTTTAGTCAGTAAGAGTCTGACACTCCCTCCGCCTCACCCAGGCGGGGCAGTCATTCGATGATTTTCCCCCCTTAAAAAAAAAAAAAAAAAAAAACATAAACAGTGAAAAGTGGGTGTTACATTGTACAGTGGTATAATGTGCACCTCTGCCTACCCCTTCGGGGATAAAAGGCGTGATGTTATGTTATGTAATATTTAGTCTTATTTCAGAGTCACGTGCTGAATTCAATAAAAAATGAAGATATAGCAAAGAAAAAGCTTAAAGCACAGAAGGATAGGGAAAAGTTGGAGAATGATAAAGTGCTGGCAAGTATTATTCAGTCAATTATTATGAATAAGCAATCGTTCATTCATCTTAGAGAACTAACGCCTGAATACTGAAAGACTACTCGATTTCAAAGTTACACTTAAATATCGTGCCATCTGTCAATTTGTCGCGGAGAACCTAACGGGTTACCGGGGCTCCAGCTCGACGTGCAGGAGAAGGAACGGGGTGGTTTTTAGTCAGTAAGAGTCTGGCACTCCCTCTCGCCTCACCCAGGCGGGAGAAATAATTCGATGACGTTCCCCTCTTAAAAAAAAAATCTCTGTCAATTTACAAAGAATTTATGGTGACATTTGGGCTGCCTCGTTGGCCAAGTGCGACTGCCGGGCAAGGGGTCTCGGGTTCGATTCCCGGGTCGGGCAAAGTATTACTGGGTTTTTTAAAAATCTGAGTAGTAATACGGAGTCTGGAATGTGCACGGTATATGGCAATAGGCTCACCCCCTATTACATGAGACTCATAACATAAATAGTGAAAAGTGGGTGTTACATTGCACAGTGGCATTAAGAGCCGTAATGTGCACCTCTGCCTACCCCTTCGGGGATGTTATGTTATGTAATTTATAGTGACAGTAGTGACGACACTACACTTAAGCGCGACTTAAAATTGAGTGATGTTTAAGTATTTTGGCGTTAAATAATAGGTACAAACATAGTATGTATAAGGTTGGTAAATGGGCACTTTTGTGAATCGACTAACCTCTTATCTGTTGACAGTTGCGGCAATAATATATCTATCTATACCGAGAGCCGATGTTTGAATAGACAAGAGTCTAAGAGAGTTTTGAAACTCATAATACAATATCATAATACTGTGTTTTTATAATAACTATCGTGAGACATACTAAATTAACTAAAAATCGCGAGTCAGTAAGCTGCGCGACATCGCCGCGACCGCGCACGCTGCTCATGAGGAAGAACCCCTCTGTGGTTCGAAACTAGTAGAGCTTTTCTCAGTATATTCACGTGAGCAACCCGCGATTTTTAGTTAACATCATAATACTACCTATAAAACAATATCCTTAGGACCTGTGCAGAAAATGCAAGTCTAATATCTAGGGTAGCTAGGGCAATGCCATTATAGCCCTAACTATTATGGCTTGCATTTTCTGCATAAAATGACCTTCAATTGTACGGAGTCAAGAAGTTTGGCGGTGTGTCCACCCACGTGGCGCCTGAACTCTGTGCCGTCGTGTCGGTCTGCCATCCCAACCCGCCAAAGAGTGCCTGTGTTTGCGCATACACTCGTGCCCTAGAAGTATAATATCTTCTGCGTAGTCTAGAATATCGATAGAAATATCAATGGCTGTATTATTGCATAATTGGAACTCATTGGAACATCAATGTTTTTCGTTATCCTGTGGAGCCGGACCAGCCTGCCTCCAAGCATTTTTATTCTCTATGTAATCATTAAGTTTGTATTATGCTTTTCCACATAGCGTTTTTTTAATACCTCTATATAATTTAAAAACTCAACTCCTATTAAGATCAAAATTTATTTGAATTCCAACCTTTATGTACAGAAACAAATTTTGATGGAGATCAAAGGCAACAATCGTTACGAGAAAAAAGAGAAGTAAGTGAAAAAATACAATTTGAATTCCTCGTTTAATTTAAAACTAGTTAATAATCAAATTGAAATGGAATAGCAAAAAATTGCCTGCGAAAAAATTTAGGGGTACTTTGTCCCAGGCAATTTTGTACTGTAAAAATAAACCACAGTTTAAAAACAAATATGTTGTTCGGAGCGGTAACAGAATCATAGCGCTGTCAACATTTTATAATAAAATAATTCATAATTAACACGAGTTGTCCCAGCTCTCAATAGATGGCGTTAGGATCGTGTTAGATGGCACTATGGTTTCGTTACCAGGATTTATATAGGGTACGGTCAAATATTGTGTACGATGTCTTTGTCCGTTTAAATAGTCAACACCCTTAGCGTGCGGAACTACGAGTGGCCCTAACCTAAAAAAAAAATGTACGGTGAGAGCAGCAAACATTGTATTTGTAAAATATACGCGATTAGTATATATCAGTACAGTGTACTAATTTATCACCCTCTCCAAGTCGACCTTCGTTCAGTGATATTTAAAAATAATACACATAATATTGTATCTGCGTATTTCAACTAACTAACTAACTATTTTAACTTTATTGATACTTAACAAATTTTACAGACGTAAAAAAGTAAAGAAGACCGATAATGATAAGAAAAAGGCTAAACTGGAAGCTCTACTAGTAAGCAAGTATTACCTATTTTCAATCTATAGTACAACATAACACGCCTTTTATCTTCGGAGGAGTAGGCCGAGGTGCAATATTACGGCACTTAATGCCACTGTACAATGTAACATCCACTTTTCACTATTTATGTTATGCGTCCTATTAGATGGTGAGCCTATTGCCATATACCACAATTCCAAACTCCTTGCTACTACTGAGAATTTTTAAAAACCCTATAATACTTTACCCGACCCGGAAATTGAACCCGAGACCCCTATCCGGGCAGTCGCACTTGCAACTACACGGTCAATGAGGCAGCAATCTGTAGTATAAAGCACAAAAATATAATTTAATATAAATACTGAAAATGGATTTTTTAAAATTTCAATTAACTCTTATATCCTCTTATATCTCTTATATCGCACGGATATCAGAGACTACACATTTAACATAGTCAGCAGCAGCACCCTATAATAAACCTGAAATTGAAATTGTGAAATCCAACCAACCTTTCCCTTTGGTCATTCATTAATGTGGTAGAAGCCCATTAGTCCAGCATTTGACTGACGCGACCTATAATGATAAAGATTACTTATTTAGCCTCTTTTAAAATAAGACATCTTATTACAGAGAAATCTTTTAAAAATGGAAAAATCGAACAGCGATGACGTAACAAGCAGTGAGTGAGTGAATATTATTTATATTTTTGTTCCTCTCTCTTTCTATTCCTAGTTTTATCTCTACAAACCCATGTGCCTGCACCAATCAGATTTGACTTGACATTAGTGTCGAAGCGATTAGTAGCATTGTAATAGATTATTTTATGATAAGTTGTTTCCATCTTCGACAATAGGGATGATGACAGGGTATGAAAATTAAAAATCTAATTAGTCCGTAAGTTAGGTAATTAAAAATATTAGTCACGTATTTTTTTATTAAACAATACTGATAAAGCGAATCAAAGTTCAGAAGTAGGGGCTAAAACGTCATTTCTACATATAAAATGTACATATAAGTGACGTCACTCGATATTTCAAATCAATATATCGTAGATAGTATTCGTTTCTTTAAGAAAATAAAAAATACGTAATGATTTAAAATAATCTACCAGACGGACATTAAAATAAAAATTAGGCATCTACCCTATTATTGAGAGATCTCTGAAAAATTGATTATGTTTCATTTTCTAGATCCTCTGAAAGTTCTGAAGAAGATTCGTATACCAAAGAAAGTAAAGACGGTGGAAATATATTGGTAAGGTTTATTAAAAAGGATTTATTAACTGCCGTATCCAGATATACTTAATGTTGACTTGAACGGTACCTTAGTAATGATTCTTGTTCTAAAAACAAATGCTGATTACTGGGTTAAGTAGGTATTTTTTTTTATTGCATAAGCCGGTAAACGAGCAGACGGATCACCTGATGGTAAGCAATCGGCGTCGCCCATGGACACCTGGAACACCAGAAGCGTTAAAAGTGCGTTACCGGCCTTTTGGGGATTAGGAGTTTGAGGATCGTTGGGGATTCAGGGATTGGAGAGATTGGGGAAGGGGAGGGTAATTAGGCCCCCGGTAACCTCACTCACACGACGAAACACAACGCAAGCGTTGCTTCACGTCGGTTTTTTGTGAGGCCGTGGTATCACTCCGGTCGAGCCCATTCGTGCCGAAGCATGGCTCTCCCACACTTGAGGTAACCATTAATGTCTCTGAGTATGACAGTTAATCATCAAATGTTGTCTAAAGACTAATACGTCTTGTATATTACAAATTTACCAAAACCATTTCAACGTACACTGAAAGAGTGTATTCTTCTCCATTTCGGTAGAGCGGTCATAGTCACGTTGAGGCGGCCGTATTTGTGTTGGAGGCCGATACAGTTTTCCTCACGATCTCCCGCCATCACCCCCTGTTTGTGGATTGTCTGGCGCAGTCTGACCATGGGTTTCCCGTTACCGATTTGACTTGATCAGTCTATTTTATTTTAGTGAAATACAATTAAACAATAATTGGAAGCATAATTAGAATAACAGAATAACACGCATGAGACCACATTAAACCACCACATTATATTGTTACCTACAAATTCCAATTAATTTATATGCAGTGTTGTTTTAATTTACCGCGAATAATTGTGGTTTGAATGACGTATGGGCTAGTACAAATATAATACATAAATATACGTATTTTAGTACTGTTTGAGTTATCTGGTTATGAAACATATTTATTTGTTTTATTTATTCCAGGAAGACATTTTGAACGCGCTCAATAATAATGACAAAAGTATAGAAAAGTAAGTGTACTAAAACAAAACTGTTTTCTATTGTTTGTACATTGAATATTATTTTTGTGCTACGAGTACCTACGGCGTAGCACCTGCTACAAAATAAATGCTACAAGTTTATCATAAGGCACACAACGAACTTTTCCTTCATTCCGTAGGCGCCATCTTATATCACAAAAAATAAATCACGTAATATTTACAGATCTCAACCTATTGTAAGTATGATAATGAAACTACACTTGGTTTTAACACATATGTTTTTTTTGATACTTGATTACAACCTATTCACTCGGGCCTCGAAGACACCCGGGTTACACCCTTCAGGAAACACAGACTCTTAGATATATGAGATTTATAACAGACATGTATTTTTTTTTTTGTATCAAAATTTCCAGGTATTAATACAATCAGAACCTTCGAATGTTTTAAGGGCGTAAGTATTTAAAATTGCTAGTAATTTTATTTACCCTCGTATGTATTTTAAGACTTTTTATTGTATTATAGAAATGTCCTGTCTGAACATATAGCATCATTTCGATATGGTCTACCGAATAGTACAGCATTTCATAATGTAAGTATGAATAAAGTTAATTATTAGTATATATTTTTTAATATATTCAGTTGAAGAGTAATTTTAAAGTGTATTATAATTTTCAGATTAGGAAAAGTTCTTTAGAGTACGTATTTCAGAGGCTTAAAACTTACTAATATAATATTTATTAAGTGCCATCCACCATAAAAAAATCTCTCTAAAAAGGCAGCATTTTACTCGACATTAATATAATATCAACTCGACATAATTCTTGCTATAATGCATAATGTGTTTTTAATTTCAGCAATGTAGACTATGAAAACCAAGTAAGTATACGTTTTTTGACTTAACATTTACTGAGAATCCTGTATACACCAGCCAAAATATTTGTTTTGAGAATGCAAAGAAAAATGCAAAATGCAAATACGAATCTCTAAATTCACATCATAACAGGTGAAGATTTTGATTGAAGAGAATAGAATAGATAGAAGAGCAATTTGTTGACTACAAAAATATACTACCACCAGGCGAGATGGTGGTCAAAAGTCGGTCCATCAAATTAAAAACTGTCAATAATCTATAAGAAACGTCAGGACCTCAAATATTATAAACTCTTTTTATTTACCTTCAAAGGGCCCTGGCTACATGTACAGCAGAAAGTCCGGAAATAGTAGTAAGGTCAAGGCTAATGAAGATACAGACGAGGAAGAAGCTTCTGAGGAAGAGGAGTTAGAAAAAAATCCTGGCAATCCATTCACCATCCACAAGAATAAATACAAACAAAATTGGCCGTACAATCATTATGTGAGTTACGATTTTTATTGCATTTTTTAATTAGTAATAACAAAAACAAAGAAGTCATAATTGTGACTGGTTAAAAGCAACATTTAACATCAGACATGTGATATATATTATCATACAGAAGTAATCAATGCCAGTGCTCAATAACAATAGACGAAAAATGAATGAGAAGTCACAATTTAATTAGTACAAAAGGAAACATTAGATATATATACTAAGTATATTATTATCATCAGTAACAAGCGGTCGAACGAAGGCCCATTTAAAAAAGTATTTCTTCTGGGCAAGTAAGGACCAAAAAGACCATGAACCTAACGGGTTACCGGGGCTCCGGCTCAACGTGCAGGAGAAGGAACGGGGTGGATTTTAGTCAGTAAGAATCTGACACTTTCTCCCGCCTCACCTAGGCGGTCCTAGGTGAGGCGGGTATTCGATAATTTTCCCCCTTAAAAAAAATTATTGTCATTGTTAAAAGAAGAACTTTATAAACAAAAGCAAGTCATTAAAAGTTAATTACTCCTATATATGTACGATACGTTACTAATATAATTATATACTATACTGTACTACATTTTTTCAATTAATAAGAATGTCGTGGTGGTCCGGGGTTTACGACGCCCGCTTGTCATGTATGAAGGTGCGGGGTTTTAAACCTAGCAAAGTGACGGTTGGCGCGGTGACATGGCAACTGGCTGCCGCGCAACGTGTCGTAGGCGATTAATGCTCAAACCTTCTCCATGTGAGAAGAGGTCTTTGGTCAGCAGTGGCCACCTTGTAGGCTGTTGATGTTGATACGTTTTAATTGAGCATTGTTTTTAGATGGACGGTGACCATATGAATATAAATCCGATGGGTCCAAAATTTGGTAATCTGGGACCTTCTGGTCCCGAACTCTTCTTCGGAAGAAAGTGGTGGTATTTTAATCAGGTATGTCAATGCGGTATTATTTCAAAGCAACTTTCAACTTAACCATAAACAGGTCGGAGTCGCGGAGAACCTAACGGGTAATCGGGGCTCCGGCTCGACGTGCAGGAGAAGGAACGGGGTGGTTTTTAGTCAGTAAGAGTCTGACACTCCCTCCCGCCTCACCCAGGCGGATACAGTCATTCGATGATTTTCCCTTCTTAAAAAACAACCATAAACAGGTACTTGAAACGTCACTAAATAAAGTATAGTTAGTCTGTCCGTCAGTGGAGCTAGGCGGTCGTTCGTGTAAATTCGAATGGAGAAGAACGTGAAAGAAAAAACATCGTTACTCTTTTAAAAAAATATGTCAAAGCAAAAACTCTAATGATATCTTCAGATTTATTTCGTTGCTCCGAGGTACCTAGATAAAATGGTTTGGAGAAGTTGTGAGGCTAGTTTCAATAAAAAAGAGTATAGTTGACCTTCTAAATGAAACACGCTATTTTCGTAACGTTTACACGTGGCCCACGTGTGTGAATTTCAAAACAAAACTTTCCTTGTATACCAAATTCCCATTTGCAATTTTTCGAACAATGTTTGTTTCTATTTTAATTTAGAAACTGTTACAATGTACGAATCTAGTGTTTCTAGACTATAGGTAATATATTTGAAAGGATCATGTTGGTAAAACACCGGGAATGACACCAAACTGAATACTGCTATAATACAAATATTCTGAAATCAATATAATGGTTCTATCCTATCACTCAAGTGGCTGAGTTTTAATTGTGTCAATACAAATTTAATAAATGCAGTTTTGCTCTACAGTGGGACGATCACGGCTGAAAATAAAATCAATATAATCTATATAATATAAAAATGAAACCCATTTCCCGTTGTCACGCCATAACATGAGAACGGCTAGACCGATTTGGCTGATTTTTTTTGGTTGTGTTTATTGCAGAAGGTTCTTATGGCAAAAAAAGTCCTGAAAATCCTGAGGGAACAGGAGAAAACGGGATTGTACGTATGAAGTCGCGGGCAGAACCTAGGGTAGAATAAAAAAAACCTATCACATTTGTCTTTTAAGTAATCGCGTTTAACTTAAAAACTACAACAGATATTTTTACTTTCCATCAATAGGTAGTGAAAAAATAGTACAGTGGTCAGCACATCAACATACGCTAATGTTTGTGTCATTGGATATTCAACTTTACATATTTGATAATAACGAAATTTGACAGAAAAGAGTACCTGATGCACAAGTGCGTAGTTTAATTTATTTTGACTACATGGTTAAGCCCTAAAGCGGAAAGCTAGCATGCATGCATTTACCACCTTTAACATAAAAGTTATTTTAAAAATTTTAAGCCTTAAACGAGTCATTAAGACGACCTTCACCTGTTTGTCCTATATACTGCCGGCAGCTCTTATCCCACCCTCTCCCGGTGCAATATCCGTTCTGAGCAACAGTACCGTGCAGTTCCCATACCAAAATCTTCTGTAAATTTATATTTTCTGAGGTAAAGGAAAGTAAACTGCAATAAGAACGTGATTAGGTAAAAATTGTATTGTGTTTCGGTTACCCTAGTTTTGAAAATCATACTTATTTTTGTTTAAAAATATTTAAATTAGTTCTAATTTTTTTTTATTCCTTTACAGGACGACTACAAGCCGATGGGTTAATTTATATTTCACGAAAATTGTTACTTTATGTAATTTAGATAAAATATGTAATTATATTTAATTTTATTAACGTAAAATTTTCATTTTATTTTGCATGAACGTTGACAAATATTAGGTACGCACCTGTTCAAATCAAAACTTGAAATCAGAGACAATAAGTATCATTGTCACAACCCTTCATTAACAAGGAAGAATTGGGAAGGAATAAATTACCAAAGAAACAATACATAATACCAATCATAAGAAGTCAAGGGTAACTGAACAATGAACTTGAGTTATTTGAGGGTTATGATGGGGCTAAAACGATTTCCTTGCTTCAGGAAGGTTCGAGAAAATTCGACAGTAATTGATAGGGGCCAGGATCACAAATATCGAACCAAAAACTAAGGAATATGATGAACCAGTTTTGCCCGGAGCTCCGATTGCGTAATCAAAATTTTCTTAGAGTCGAATTTCCCATGGGAGCTATTAGGATAGAAAGGTGTAATTTAGATATTTGTAGGTTAGATAGGCCATGTAATTTTTTGCTCTATTTTATTCCACTGGTATTAATATTGTGTATTTTATTTTTCTATTATTTATCGTTTACGATCACACAAGACTCCCACTGGAGTAAACATAGACAGTTAAATAAAGTCTGGTCTTAGCGTTCATGGTCACATAAAATTGTATGTATTATTTTACTCTTTTCAAACATTTATTAAATAAACTTTTAGTAACATTTATATGGCTATCTAAATAAATTAACAGACTTTAATTTAATTTTACAAACACATCACTAAAAGTTAATTTGTAACAACAATGTATTCTTATTGTCAAAAGTTGCACTACCTCAAAAACCTAAACATGTCTGAAAAACGACTTGTATTTCCTGAACAGTGAGAGTTTCAGGTTTATCGTTTGCAACAGTGTGGCAACGCTGAATGGTTTTGACGCCCACACTGCTCTTGTCAAACTTCCTAGCTTTGGTTACGTCAAAAACAACACGATGCAATAACTACGTGAATGTGCTATGAAACTGGGAGAAGGTTTAAATAACAATAGATAGATTTATCAAGCTGCATGTCAGACATGGGGTTTGATAAAACTTTTAATAATAATCTGTGCTGTATTTGTGTATGTATTATTTTATTTTTGTACTCTTGTGTCACGTCTAATATATTTTTTTAAGTTTGTATGGTATTTGTTTGTAACACTCTATGGCCTATGAGCTGACGCCTGAAAACAAAAGATTTTTATTTTATTTAAAGAGTTTTTTTGAGTTAATATTTTGTATTGAGGTGATAATATGGTCACAACTATAAATTGACAGAAATGCAAGTGGAGCCGCTGCCTGACAGAAGTTATTAGTTATTAAACTTGTTTAAGTAACTCTTTGTAGAGCAAATACATAGTTAGAGGCTATGATAATTATCATGGAATTCATAATCAAATTAATTCAAATTTAATCCTACTGAATTAAATAACTAAAATTTTTGAAAATATCCTACTAGTCAGATGACCTCAATAAATATTTAGATACAGTATATTTTAAACTATGAACCGAACATAAAATAGAAGTTAAGTTTAGGCACAGATTCATAACTCTACGACACAGCATGACCTAAGTCAAGGGCGACACGAAGCGTTGTTATACAAAAAATATTTACTTTGAATAACACTATTATTATTACATGTTAAATACTTAACTCTATTTACATTTTTGACTATACAGACCTATTATCTGACAATCTTTCCTTCACAGTGGCATGTTCCCAATTACTATTAGAATTCCTTTTGATTGATAATAATACCCGTGTAAGGATCTAAACAGACGATTCGTATTTGAACTGAAAATTGCAGTTCGTATGCAGTTTGAACGCAGTTCACACAACTGCAATAGAATTGCAATCGGACTGCTCGTTTGGTTTGCAACCGTTTGGTCATGACTGCAATACAACTGAAATCGGGCTGCACGTTTGATTTGCAGTCCAATTGCAATCGTGACACGACTGCATTTAAACTGCATCTGAACTACAATTTGCGGTTGGATTGCAGTTTGATATACGGTATGTCTCTTTAGAGCCTAATCCCACAGTCCACCTATTAAGTAGTTCATTGCAAAAACTGCAAATAGTAAAGTTTCCTACTTCCACCAGGAGTTTGGATCGCCTCTACATAAGAGAGTTTGTCATAATCTTGGTAGATAGAGCGTACTACTACCCCACTTTTTTTGAAGTAGATATAAACTTTCACGTTTTAAAGATAAATTTACACTAAACCAAGGAAGTCAGTACACCAATAACAAAAAAACCTCACATTAAAAAAAATTAAGATTTCTTTAAAATGAAAATAGCTAACGAGTTAACTTGCACCAAACCTGAACATTGACACATCCGCCGTCGTCATTAACAGAAGCTAGTGTGCCACTTTTAAATTAGCTCGGCTTAGAAAAGAGGTGCAAAATAAAAAATTTAATAACCTTCTTGGTGAGTTATTCTGAGTTTTATACTTGTATCTAAGGACGTTGTAAAATAGGCGGACATAATGTCACTTACAAATAATTGAAGCACAGAACAAAATGTCAGTGGTTTATTTATGTGTGCGTGTGTAATCGATTACCACGTTACCAGACTTGAGAAAATGATAGATGTCCTTCGTGTCAATGTGTGTATGTTCTGCGTGTAAGTCTGTAGTAGCCAGGTGCCACAGCCGTTGTTTCAAAATACTGTGGCCGCCTTTTTTCAACGTCCTTGTTGGCATCATATCTGTATATTCTCAAAAGAATTAAACTTATGAAGTACTTTGTACTCTTGCTACCCGTTATCCAAATCTCTGCTCCTCAAATTCAGACAAACGACGGATTTTGAAATCGGAAAAACTTGAATTTATCTGGCGAAATATTATTAGGTAATATAAGTGCTCCTGCTTCTCATGCATAAGAGTGCAGGTTCGAAACCTACCAACGGCAAGTACCAATGTGACTTTTTCCGAGTTATATACTTTCTAAGATTATTCAGATAAACGGTGAAGAAAAACATCGTGAGGAAACCTGGGCTTATAATTTCTAATTATAAGTTTGAAATCGCCAACCCGCATTGAGCAAGTGTGGTGATTAATGTTCAAACCTTATCTGTGTGAAAAGAGGCTTTGCTCAGCAGTGGGCATTAAAGGCTGTTGATGTGTGATATGTGGTCTGAATCTAAACGTATCTCGTAACATAAATGTAAACGTACAATTTCAATTGTGCTAGTGAGTCACCAAAATTAATACTTTTAAATTAACATGATACCAGTAGACAACTAAAACAAAAGTCATGAAATCGTTCATTGAATTGTTCGTTGAAAAGAAATCGGGATCTCTACCAGTTTGTCGATTCCTTATTATATTTTTTATTATTTATAAATGCCTCAATAACTACATGTCCCTCAATATGTATGTATAGTCATACTATGCATGTTAATGCGTCAAAACGCAAAAGCAATTTGTGTAGGAGCATGTTGTTCGTGGTCTGAATGTATTAGCTCGAAGTCCCACCTCAAAGAGAGTTCGTTCGTGCATTCTACCCGCACGCCATCTGGCCAGCCTCTTAGGAACTAAGTTTATACTTTGCGGAATAATTTACATAAATACCATAAAAGACGATATGGAAAGTTTTAATGTCTTGGACCAGTTAGGAAAGAAAATCAATATTGTGTTTTAAAGTTTACATTATCTAGTCACTGTTTAAAAATGTCTTCGTAATCTAGACTTCTAACACAAAACTAGATTTAACTGACAGTTGAGTACTCCAAAAATAATTCAGAACGAACAATTTAACAAAAAAAATTAATTTAAAGAAAATTTTATCAGATTTTTGCATTGCATTTGTAATCCCAAAATTATCTTTTATTAGACATAAAGAATGTAATAAAACTAAACTAATCTACATATATAGATATAAACTAAATTACAAATAATTAGGGCTAAGATAAACAAAAAAACTAAAAAACAATACAACTAAAATTTACATAAGAAATATAGGATACGGTAAAAAGAAAAAAAACTAACTTAACGCATAAAAAAAAATATCCCAATCATTGTCATGAGGTAACGTGCCCAAAGGACTGGCAGGCGGCCATGTTGGATGGCAAACATTTGACCAAGATAGTAGCCAGCCTTTTGATCACCTGAACTTCTTCTTTCTTTGTAAAGAAGACAATAATATTAACTAAAATAGCCCCTATACGTACGACACACAGTATCTTTTTCATACCTACAAAACATTTCTAATAACAAAAAGTTTTACGATGTTTCAATTTCATGGCAATTGCTAGAATGTTATTGAAGCAAACGTCATTTATTTATCAGTTTTAACAAACAAAGTTATGGTTTGAATAATCAAATGGATTCTGCTATGGTTATTTTTATGATAATAATAGTAAGGAAAATTTATATTATTATATTATTAAACATACACGAGGTCATGCTGAGCGCTCTAAGAAGCTAAATATAGCCTTTTATTTGATTTAACGAGTACTTTTATAACATTAAACGATTAAAGAAATAATAGAGCATTATTTCTTTGTGTGACTTTATAGTATATTTTTTCATAGTGTAATAACTGTAATGATTTATTATTATTAAACAATGACTGCACACATGCACAATTATTGATGCGCGACTGTTTTATTGCTCCAGATTAATGATAATAATTATTATTTTGACATTATCTTAAATATTATGTATCCACGGGCAAAGCAAGCGGTTTAATATGTTCTTAGTACCAGAATATTTTTTTTTAATAGAAGCTCATTTGGAATCTTCTACTCTTCAGTTACAGAATGTTTTAGATTGCAACGGAATCAGCATTAGAGATCAACTACTGCAGCTTTTGGTACGTCACTGTTTTAATTGAAAAATTGTCAATATTTACCTGGTTACAACGTGGATATTTACTTAAATCAATGATCAGCTATAGATATACGAACGATCAGCATCCTGTAAATTAGCTATTGCCAAATATTAGGATTATTACAACTAGATTAAAAGACCATTGTTCAGCGGTCTTTCGGCAAATGATACACCGATAATCATATTTGCAGTTAGGTTAAAGTTAATGATGATATTTAAGTGATTGCCTAGAAGACTGTTTATTTTCCTTAAATATAAATATTATACTTTTTAACTGTAGAGAAGCAGAAGAGAACAAGAGTTTCCAGAAGATTCACAAATCTATGTGAGTTGAAATGTTTTTTTTTAATGATTATGTTTAAAGATAGGATTCAAATACTACATAGAAATTTTTATCATTCTATACATTTTTCAATTCAAAAAAGTTTATTAATTACTAGCTACTTCCGCGCGGTTTTACTCGCTCTGCTCGGCGCCTGTTAATCGTAGCGTGATATTTTATAGCCTATAGCCTTCCTCGATAACTGGGCTATCCAACACAGAAATAATTTTTCAAATCGGACCAGTAGTTTCGGAGATTAGCGCGTTCAAACAAACAAACAAACAAAAAAACAAACTCTTCAGCTTTATAATATTAGTATAGATTATATTTTTGGCTAACTCACGTAATTGTTTGACGAGGATCTCGAATACTTTCAAGCCATGCTAGAGGCTTATATTCATGAGCACCATTCTGCGACACACGACACGGTGACTGTCGCGTTTCTACTCCTCAGTACGAGTTTCTCATCAAACAGTTTTTTTTATGGCATAAGCCGGTAAACGAGCAGACGGTTCACCTGATGGTAAGCAATCAGCGTAGCCCACGGACACCTAGAACACCAGAGGCGTTACAAGTGCGTTACCGACTTTTTGGGGATTAGGAGTGTGAGGATCGTTGGGGATTCAGAGATTGGGGAGATTGAGGAAGGGGAAGCTAATTGGGCCTCCGGTAACCTCACTCACACGACGAAACACAACGCAAGCGTTGCTTCACATCGGTTTTTTGTGAGGCCGTGGTATCACTCCGGTCGAGCCGGCCCATTCGTGCCGAAGCATGGCTCTCCTACTACAGTTACGTGAGTGAGCCGAAAATATTATTATTAATTTAGTATGCCTGACGAAGGTTTTAATATCACATAGGTTTTGTAATCATTATTGTTATTATGAGATGTATGACCATTTTTATGAAGTACCTATTCTTTAATTTTTTACAGGTAAGAAGTCAAGCCAGCCCAGAAGATACTCAGGAACCTTATATCGATAAGGTACTTATAAAAGTGTTACGAACATGACATGAACCAATTAGATCATCATTATTGTTTGAATTTTAAGTATTCGTTTATTTTTAACGAGTTTTTATTTAACTTTCAATTTATGTAATATGTATTTATGTATGTATATAAACTGTAATCTTGAAACTACATAACATCACGCCTTTTTATCCCGAAGGGATAGGCAGAGGTGCACATTACGGCACTTAATGCCGCTGTACAATGTAACACCCACTTTTCACTATTTATGTTATGAGTCCCATGTAATAGGGGGTGAGCCTATTGCCATATCGGGCACAGTTCCAGACTCCGTGCTACTACTGAGATTTTTAAAAACCCTGTAATACTTTGCCCGACCCGGGAATCGAATCCGAGACCCCTTGCCCGGCAGTCGCACTTGCGACCTCTTGTCCAACGAGTTGGCCGAGTAATCTTGAAACTAATAGAACTAAAATGTTGTAGGTATATATGTTTGGTTTCCATGACTATAAATGCTTAACTGCATAAAACCTTGCTACTAAAAGATTTTAATATATTATAATTTTATTCGAAATCATGAGTCACAGAAATATGTATAAAAAATTGCTACATACATTAATCCTACATTTTATTAGGTCTCTAGTCAACCAGCTTCACAAGAACGAGATGAAGATTTAGTAAGTTTAGTATTTTTAAACTATTTGTTATTAGTATTAAACACTGACGTTGTGGGCCGGAGGTTTATGACGCCCGCTTGTGCGGCCAATTTGAGATTTTTCGAGTTACATGTAATTTCTAAGATTATCTAGACACCACTGACAAATGGTAATGAAACCTTTATAATTTCTAATTATAAGTAAAAAATCACTAACCCGCATTGAGCAAGCGTGATTAATGGTCAATCCTTCTTCGTGCGAGAGAGGGCTTCTGTCAGCAGTGGTCACTCATAGGCTGTTGTTCGCATGTTGTTATATATGTTAATCGCATAGTGAATATCAATAAATAGAATAAGGCGTTATTTTGCCGATATCCAAATGTACACTTTTAGCCAATTAATGGGATACTTTATTTTGTTTAGATACCAAAAGATGTTGTTAATTTATTTTTCAGTCTCGTCCTGTTGAAGATGTAATGGATGACCCACCTGATTATATTGCATATGTAAGTATTATTGTCATAAAAAACGATTTACAATTATTATTTTGTTAAAGAATATAATATCTGAAAAGAACTAGGCAAGTGCTGCAGTTTGACATTCATGGTTAGTTTTGTTTAACAACTTTACTGCGTTTGTATTATAACTTTCGTGTGACATACTAAATAAATTATTATGTTTTCGGCTTACTCATGTAAAAAGACTCGAGCAGCCAGTAGCAGCGCGACAGTCAGTAGCGGAATGCTGCTCATGAATATGAGCCTCTAGCATGGATTGAAACTAGTCGAGTTCCTCGTCAAATAATTACGTGAGAAAGCCGAAAACATAATAATTAACTTAACTGCGGTTAAATTTAAAAAAGAAAACACAGTCCCTGTTACTTGTGATGTTTGTATTATTTGTACAAAAACAAAATTTTCCATATACAATACACCCAGAGGCCAGAGGAATCGCTACAAGTAAGTGGTATCAGTCGTCCACCCAGTCCCTGCACCAACCATGTCAGACATTAAATATTGTGGTTTAGGATCAAAATTATATCATTTTGAATTCCAGGATAAACCTGTAGCACGGGTGATAAAAGACTACTACAAAATAGAACAAGATAATAAAAATAAAAAAGCCATTATAGATGCTAAAATGTGAGTGTTTTACATTTTTATATGAACATTACTCAGAACACGAGATGCCATTAACGGTTTCAAATAAATTTATTATTTAGTAAAGTATTGTTAGAGTCGATTATTATCTAAAAAACTGTTCGTATATGTAGCCACCGTCAGCCACTGTTATGATGACATTTTGTATTTTTTTATACCTACTTAGTGCCAAAGAACGGGGATTGCTTAATTTCCCTGATCCAAACTACCCCCAAGAAGATGGAGTAAGTTTTTTCATCGTTTTTGATATAACAAAACATTTATCTACTTTATAAACTGCTACAACTAAAAATCTACAAACTGCTCCTTAAATACAATGGTATTCACTTGTGCCCTTAAACTTCCAATAAGAAATGGTATTGGTTGGACTAAGATTTATTTTTAAAAGAACAAGGTATTTTCCTAATCGTGTATTAAGTATGTTATATTATTTCTAAATAGTGCCTTTAACCAAACGCCACTTTAGCGCTTATCTACCAAGAGAATGAAGAGAGAAACTAAATGTATGGGAATGACACTGACAAGTGTCAAAGTTTACGTCAATCCCATATACTTAATTTAGTTTTCTACTCTACAAGTAGACAAGCGCTAAATGGCATTTGCCTACAGCTGCAGGATCGAAGAAAGTTCGAAACATGAACTCGTGACTTTAAAATGTTTTTTACTAGCTATCATGTTAAACTTCGTTCCACCTCAAATCAATGACAGTTCTTGATATTGTCTGGTACTTTACAAATTATATTAGCGGCGGTCAAACAAAACTATCATGTATCGTCGGTGTCGATGTGATTGACATTTATAGTGTGACTTACTAAATAAACCCAAGATCTTCGAATTTTATACAAAGGAATTTAATTTTGATCAACATGTAAACGCGTAAACAACGATTTCTTACCGAATACTTTCGGTAAAAATTCAATATTTATTTTGTGAACGTAAATTATGATACTCATAATTAAGAATAATGTAAAGATAAAGATATATTTATTTGTATAATAAACATGTGTGGGTAACATTATATATATCAATGCAAATGCAGATGATACAGTATTATAATTATTAGTCTTTTTCAAATTAGAAGTGCACAAAATAAAAAATAAATTATAGATTTTTCAGGGTGCACAAATGCCAACGCAACCAGTTGAGGACATACCTAATGAGGACCCTAGCATGGTAAAAAGCTATTTAATTTGGTTTTTGTTTTAACAAATCCTACTTAATATGTTTGTTTGCTACTCCTTTACGTGAAAACGGATGAAGAGATCGAGATGAAATTTGGAACAGGGGTAGATTCGTTTTTATCTCACAGAAAAGCGAGCGGAGCCGCTGACAGAAGCTTGTTAACATTATTATTTTTTATTACAGATGAACATGTTGGATCACGCAAAACCAACAAGATCACACGTGGTGAGAGCAATAATAATGTTTTTTTTTATTTTTAAGCGATCTTGACATTTCATTTATCACTTTAAAATATAAAATAAAAACCATACCATAAGCTAGTTCTGGGTAATACTACTTCAGTAGTATTTGCATTTGGATAAGCACCACTGTTTTACTAAATATTGTGTTTACTTTTTAACGGTGACATAAACACGTTCAATTTTTAAAAACAATATAATCATGTTGAAAAAATGGAACATTTAAGAAAAATATTACGTTCTTTATAAATAAAACAGTGTTAAATTATAAGGTGCTCATCATCATCTCCACAGGAGGCTGAATGTCTTTTTGGACGTAAGGGTAAGTCCTGAATATGTATTTTATTACAGCACAGAATCAGTAAACTTTGCTTTTACTAAAATAAATAACACAGCTTAACAATGAATTATAATACAAATTTGTATTAAAATAAAATAAGTTGGTTAACATAAATATTAAGGTGCTCTATCTATTTAACTTTATCGATATATTTACAATAGATACGACTAGCATTTTAGAGAGTATCTTTAATTTTAATTTTGCTCAATATGGTTGCTTCAACATTTCAGGTTGCTCAAAATGGAAACGCCGCTATTCTAGAAAGACAAACATCGAATTTGAATCTGACGTCGAATCTGTACAGAAACCGTCGGCACTCACATTTGGTCACGAAATAAATGTTCAGCCTGTTGATATTTTTCACCAGCCTTCAAATAACTTACATTTAATTGCACTAGGACATGACTATAAAATCACTTCTCAAACTGTACCGCAATTACAACTACACGAATTGAATGAAAACTCCGAGCTAAATTACGAAAGTCAATTAGTTGATATTACAAATAATCAAAGCGCCAACGACTTAAAAATAATTGAAAAAGACTTATTCGGAGAAGATATTCAAACTAAACCGATAACTACGCAAGACATGACGAAGAAAGATAATGTTACATTAAATTCTTTGGAACATATTTTCGAAAACAATCAGTTATCTAAAACAAATCAAAGTTTACAAACACCAATTAAAGTTATTGGATCTTGGAATGTCCCAGTAGAAACTACCATTAAAGAAAATATTACATTAAATAAAATGCAGTATTTAAACAAGCAACTATTTGAAACTAGTACACCACATCAATTAAAAGTAGATTACGAAGTAAAAATGAAACCACAACCCTTAATCCAAATACAAAATTCATTGTACTCTAACTGGAGCCGAATCACAAGTAATAAACCAATAGCAGATGTTACTCAACCAACATCAAAACGTGTAACAGAAAGAACATTGCCGGTAAAATTATCACAGCCAGCCAAACAACCATTTACTGCGTCCGAGTTCTTCGATAAAAAAGCACAGCCAGTTCCTGGCCACTTTCAAAAAGATATCGAACCTATTTCAAGTTTGTTACAACCATTAATTCCAGAAGGAGAAACAATCAACAATGCAGAGCAAATAAAAAATCAAGTAACGGTTCTTTTACAACCAAATTCTGAAGGAACTGAGTCTACAACAAGTTTTTCATCTGAAAGTCAACAAAATTATTCTTTTCAATCTACCGAAAAAGGGAGTACAATTTCAAATTTTCCTCAAAAAGATATTGAACCCCCTTCAAGTTTAATTCAGCCCCTAACAACTGAAGAAACTGCAATTAAAGAATCAGATCAATTAATGATCGCTACTGAAGCTAATCTAATTCAATCGTTTGAAAAAGAGAACGAACCTATTCCTGAAGTTTTTCAAAAAGACACCGAACTTTTTTCAAACTTATCCCATCCATTGACGGCAGGAGATACTTCAATTTATGAATCACAGCAAATAAAAAACCAATCAATAGTTTCATCACAGCAAACATTACAAAATTCAGAAGATGTTGAGCCTATAATAAGTTTTTCATCTCAATCACAATTTCAGAATGTTGTTACTATAGCGAATTTTCCAATTGAATCATTCGGGAAAGATGACAACAGTAATCTTGAATTTCCTCAAAAAGATATGGAACCAATTTCAAATTTATTACAACCTTTAGCTACTGAAGAAACTAGTGAATTAAATCAATTAATGGTTGTTACTGTAGCAAGCCCAATTCAATCGTACCAGAAGGACACTGAACCTCTTTCAAGCCTATCTAATCCATTAACGGCAGGAGATGCTTTAATTTATGAATCACAGCAAATAAATAATCAATCAATGGTTCCATCAGAGCAAACATTACAAAATCCAGAAGGTATTGAGCTTATAATAAGTTCGCCATACGAATCACAACTTCACAATGTTGTTACTATAGCAAATGTTCCAATTCAATCGTTCGGAGAAGATGACCAAACTATACCAGAATATTCTCAGAAAGATATTGAACCAATTTCAAGTTTATTACAACCGTTAGCTACTGAAGACACTACAATTAACGAATCAAATCAATTAATGGTTGTTACGGCATCAAACCCAATTCAATTGTACCAGAAAGACACCGAACCTTTTTCAAGCCTATCTAATCCATTGACGGGAGGAGATACTTTAGTTTATGAATCACAGCAAATAAATAATCAATCAATGACTCTCTCACAGCAAAATTTAGAAGGTGTTGAGCCTATGATAAGTTTTCCATCTCAACCACAATTTCAGAATGTTGTTACTATAGCAAATGTTCCAATTCAATCGTTCGAAAAAGATGATCAAAATATTCCTGAATTTTCTCAGAAAGATATGGAACCTCCGTCAAGCTTATTACAATCTGCCACAGATGATACATCAATGAAGGTATCAGAGCAACAAAAAAATAAATCAGTGGATCTTGCAGAGCAAACACTATATAATCCAGAAAGAACTGGACCTATTGGAAGTTTTCCACACCAAACACAGTTGTCCCAAAATGTTGTAACTGTTTCAAATATTCCAATTCAATCGCTGGAAAACGATATGCAACATGTTGAAGGATTTTCTCAAATAAGCACCCAACCACTTTCAAACACATCAAATCCATTAAATACAGAAGATACTTTAATTTCTGAATCACAGCAAATAAAAAGTCAACCAGTGATTCCATTACAACAAACCTCAAACAATATGCAAGATATAGACACTACAAAAAATCAGCCACAACAAACACTTCTTCTGAATAATATTGTGGATGTAACGACTGTTACTTATGAAACATACTATTACGACGAAAATGTTCAAACTATAACTAATAATTCGAATCGCAACATTGAATTGTTGACAGTTTCTTCACAGCAGCCATATATTGAAGAAACTTCACCGAATTATTTAGACCATCAAACTCAAAATAAATTAACACAGGAAAGCTTACCAAACACTGAAGTTGCAGCAAATAATTCAAAAGAGTTGATAGTTAAAACAGACAACCCTGCCCCGATTATTCCATATCAACCATTTGTAAAACAATCTGAGAATGAACTTAACTTGGTAACAGAAAGTGCACCTCTTATAAATAATCCCCAAGGATCAACAAATGATAGTCCTGTGCCACAAAAAATAGATAATTTAAAAGCTGTTGTTGATTCTCCAATTTTTCCTCAAAATGTATTTGACCAAAAAGTAGTTCATATTCCAAAATTTCCATATGATCCATTTATTAATGATACTACGTTATCTGAAGTACCACAAAAATATTTTGAACCTCAACCTCGCGAAATATATGCAGTTAAAGATAACTTACCTATTGAATCTATACCAACATCTAATAACCCGGTAGAATCTAAAGACCAACTAGAATTTACAACGTATTTTCCAAAAGCAATGTTAGACAACGTAGATAGTTTGACTCATGATGCATTTGACAGAGAAAATGCAGTGAAGCTTCTTAGCAATCAAACACAAAACAAAATTGCTGACGAACCTCCATTACCAGAAAGAGAAACTATTTTATTGGATGATCCGAATAATAATAAGATGGAAATAGTTCAAAATCCAATACAAAATGGGCATGAATTAGAAAATGAAAGAAACATGCAAATAAGAGGAATATATCCTCATCATAACTTTGAAGAAAAGAACAATCTTGAAGTAATTGAAAAGAATGTTGACTCGGATCAGACTTTTATGCCTAAAATTTGGCCAGAACCTTATTTTCAACAACTGAGCACCATTAAAAAAGTTCAACGTCAGCCTAATTCAGAAGCATCAGAAGGTCATCCAGAGGTTAACGCAAATTTCCCTTATAAAACGTTTGAAACGAATGTTAATTCTGGATATATACCACAAGGGCAATTTTATAACGATAAAGAAGTGACAGCGCAACAGACAGTGGTTGCACAATTTTCACCATTATCCAATCATTCACCGTCATTTAACGTAAATTCTAAGACTTACTCTGAATATAATAAGCCGCAACAATTCCATACCGATAATGGAATGACGGCGCCACAGAGAGTGGTTTCAGAATTTAGTTCATCAACCAGTAATCAAACGTTATTTAATGGAAATTCTGAGACAGCTTATTCTGAATATAATAAGCCACAAATGCCGTTTCAAAATATCAATGTGATTACAGCGCCACAGACAGTTGATTCACAATTTACACCATCTAACAACAATCAACAGTCAATTAACGGAAATACTAACACCACTTATTCTGAGTATAATAAGCCACAACAACAGTTTCAAAATAATATTGAGATGATAGCGCCACAAACAGTGGTTCCAGAATTTACTCCATCAACCAGTAATCAAACGTCATTTAACGGAAATTCTAACACCGCTTATTCTGAATATAATAAGCCACAACAACAGTTCCAAAATACCAATGAGATGAAAGCGTCACAGTTAATTAATTCAGAATTTACTCCATCAATCAGTAATCAAACGTCATTTAACGGAAATTCTAACACCGCTTATTCTGAGTATAATAAGCCACAACAACAGTTCCAAAATACTAATGAGATGACAGCATCACAGATAATTAATTCAGAATTTACTCCATCAACCAGTAATCAAACGTCATTTAACGGAAATTCTAACACCGCTTATTCTGAATATAATAAGCCACAACAACAGTTCCAAAATACCAATGAGATGACAGCGTTACAGATAATTAATTCAGAATTTATTCCATCAACCAGTAATCAAACGTCATTTAACGGAAATTCTAACACCGCTTATTCTGAATATAATAAGCCACAACAACAGTTCCAAAATGATAATGAGATGACAGCGCCACAACCAGTTAATTCAGAATTAACGCCATCAAGCAGTAATCAAACGTCATTTAACGGAAATTCTAACACCGCTTATTCTGAATATAATAAGCCACAACAACAGTTCCAAAATGATAATGAGATGACAGCGCCACAACCAGTTAATTCAGAATTAACGCCATCAAGCAGTAATCCACCACAGTTTGACGGATATTCTAAGATCGCATTCTCTGAATATAAGAAGCCACAACAACAAATCTATAATGATAATAAGGTGACCGCATCACAAACCATCGTCTCACAATTTGCACTTGCAAATGGAAATGCTAATATCGGTTATTCTGGGTATAATAAGCCACAACAAAAAATGTATAATGATAATGAGGCAATAGTGCCACAAGTGGTTGTTTCACAGTTTGTACCATCAACTAGACATCCGCCATTGTTTAATGGAGATTCAAAGTACCCTGTACATCCACAACAGCAATACCATAATAATAATAAGATGATAGTGCAGAAAGTTCGTTCACAATTTGCACCATTTCCTAGTTATCAATCATCGTTTAACGGGAATTCTAACATCGCTTATTCTGGATATAATAAGCCACAACAGCAATTCCATAACGATATTAATGTGGTAGCGCCACAGGCAATTGTTTCACAATTTGCACCATTATCAAATCATCGACCAACACTTAACGGGAATTCTAATTTCGCGTACACTGATTTTAATAAGCCACCAAAGCAATTTTATAATGACGATAAGACAATAATACCACAGACAAGTAATTCGCAATTTGCACCATCGTTTAATGGAAATTCTAAGTCCGTAACAAAATTAAATGATCAGACACTCCAACAAAAGCCACAGCCATTAAATTATGTTCCACCACTAGTATTTGATAAACAAGACAAAAAAGAATATTTCCCTCAAGAGACATTTGGTGGACCTGCTGATTTTGTTCCTATTTCATATCAAATGCCCACTAGGCCAGGAGTTAATAATTTAAGGAATATTTTACGCACCCAACAAACGAATGACATACAAAGTAAAATACAGACAGAAATTGAAGGCAGTTTACAGAAACAAACATTATATTCAACTGTTAACGATGTAATTAATTTTGCATCAAAAGCGTATGAAAATGAAAATTCAAAAGAAACAGAATCCCAAATTATTGACCTTTTAGGTTTACCAGAATTAAAAGCTGGTAAACAAAATACCCGACGGAATCTAGCTGACTACAGTACGTCATCAGATTTAGGCTTGAACCGAAACTCTAAATATATTGGCGAATATTTCGTATTCAGCAAATGTGTCCTATTTATTGTTCCCGATTTTAATTCAGATATCACGGCCAACGTAACAAAGATAAAGAGAAAATATAAATCAATGAAACATGAAGACGGAAAACAAATAATATCAACTATTTTGTGTCATAATAAACCTGGTATTGTTTTAATAAAAACTAACAAGAAGATTGCGGAATTACTGCACTTGTTGATGCGTACGGGTCGCATGATTTGCCAGTGTCAAAGTAAGCAGTCACTATCGAAAATGACGTATCGACCACACTCAGTAAAAAAAGATCTTACTGGTCAAATATAATTTATAAGAAAACGAAAAAAGTATTCAAGAATTTGATGATCATCTTTAAAGCTTTTATGTAGATGATAGTGTATTAAATGAACACGGTGAAAAAAACGATAGAAGACTAGAATTTTCTACCAGTCAAGTTTATAAAGGATTTTATGAAGGGTTTAAATAGCCCTTTTCAGCCCCTTGTTCGGGACTACCAATGGGCTGAGTTTCAGATCAAAATAAACGTATTATACAATTAAAATACTTTCTTTTTGAGTCCATAATATTTATAATTATGTATGCACCCATGTAAAACGCCAATTCATTTTCAAATTTATCTAATTAAATGCCATAATTTTAACATTTTCACACAATTCTGCTAATATCATTTTAACTAGGATGAAATATAACTCCTTTTTCGAAGTCAGTTAATATTAAATATTAAAATATTTTTATCGTCATTACCATCAGTTCCTTAGAGCATGTTTATTACCCAGATTAGCAAAATGTTGCAATGACAGCATTTAAGCAAATTGATCATGATCAGCAAAAATCTACTTCAGTTACTTACCTAAAAATAAATAAAAGGAGTCTGTTTATTTGTGGAATATTTGCAGTATGACAGAATGCAGCAACAACCGCAGTTGTGGAAGGCCCAACAAAATCCGACGGTGAGCAATCCAACTTATAATACCCACAGAAGGTACCTGCTGTTCAACTAAAACCACTTGCCTCAACTCGGAGCAGCAGTCGGAATGGGGTGATTTATTTTCAGTAAGTGTCTGACACTTCTACACACCTCACCCAGGACAGAAAACGACATTAGTTTCATGATTATGTCATTTAAAACAAAGTGCAGATTGCGCTCAGCACTAAATGGCCATGGTGCTGTCATGTTCCGTGTACATAATAATATTATTTTTATTTTTTTGCGAATTTTATCCTGATAATACATATAAAACAATTGCTTTTAGTACCACGACGTACGTAGGTACTTCTGCATTAAATGAAAATACTTTTTATGTTATTTGTATGTTTACAGTATTCGCAGACACAGAAACCAGCACAACCACAGGCATTGGTTAGTAGTTTTCATATTAATATTTTATAGCATCAAATGCACAACATCAATTTTAGTGTAAGATAATTTTTAACCTGAGTAAGCCGAAAAATGCAACAATTAATTTGATGAAATGAAAATGAAAATGCTGATATGATTGTTTTTCATACTACATGTCCTCTTTATTTTCAGAAATATAGGGATGTAAGTTTCTTTTACATTCATATTATTATTACAGTTACTGAGAGCTTAACTCGTGGGATGTGAGAGCGCATACCTACGCGAGATACATTTTTTTTTTCATTGTGTCTCTTATACCAGCGTACAAGAGTCGACAATATTTCGTTAGTTATTGTTATCAGAGAAAAAATGTAATCATAAGGTACATCAACCAAAATAGCACTGTTATTTTCTTATGTTTTTTGGGAAATATTTTTAGGTTATTGATATTGATGACGTAAGAACTAAAGATAAGGTAAGTAGTGCCTTAGATAAAAATGTAGTAGTCATAAATTCTTTGCTCGTTTTGTTTCATATTGCAAGCGAACTTGTGACTACTTTGTACCATAGATATGTTTATACCCACCTATGTGTACTTATATAAATGTCAAATATAAGATCAAAAACAAATAGAATGTGTATACTTGAGTATCAAAACCTTCGTTTGCATTCGCGTGATTGCAGCCACAAAATCCACAACAACTAAATGCGGTAAGCAACAGTCAATACTAATTTATTCGTCTATCATAATAATTATTAATGTTTATTAGTTATTTATCTATAGTCATTTGTTTTGGTTGTGATAATCATGTAGAATCTTATTAAATCCTATAAAAGGACAATCAAATAATGGATGAGGTTCATTTAGATCATGTTCTGATACCAACGAGTGAGACACGAGCTAAACGTGAACGGCGCAACTTACCACTACATTAACAAGTGTCATCAACGATTAAAACACTTATTTGCTATTACTATTTACAGCTAAAAATAACAAAGTTTCATCTGTAACTAATTCTATTACACTTCGATTTTAACCACATAGATGGCGAAGTAGTCAACTGACTGCTAAGCAATATGTTGCGGATTCCTTCCAACTCCGTTATAACGAAAGAGCAATGACTCCTCACATCTTTCGTACCCCTCATTTATTAATAGTCAATTTACAAATACATCCATACCATTACTACAACAACACGTAAATATTAAAAGGTATTAACTATAAAGGATCTCAACAGTTTCCAACATTCGGTGATCTAGTGGATGGGACCGGTCAAAATGGTAATTACAATTATAAGGTCAATCAGGCAAATATAAGTCCACGTGCCGAAGAAAAGTCTACCACCCGTCCAGTCACCCGTCCTTCATCGGTCCTATCTGTGCCTAACCAACAAAAAACACAGTTGATTTCACTACAAAATATCAGGAATGAATATAAAAGAGAAACACAAAAATTACGCTCTGAATTAGCCACGATCCAGAAGACAATTGCGCTCTATAAAAGCAAAGTGGATAGTCTAACGAATCGTTTGGATAACTCTAAAAATACTGCAATTAATTATAATCAGGGCCCAGCAGCAAATGTGATTAATCAGCTTCAAAAAACAGTCGCCCAATTGCAAAAGAAAGTTGAAGATCAAGAGCAGGAATCACAAATAACTGATTTGGAAATCATTAACGTTCCTGAAACTCCCAATGAAATCATTGGTAACGTCGTTCTATCAATAGCGAGGAATTTAGGCACTAATCTTGAATTACGAGATATAGTGTTTGCAGAGCGCAAAGGATCTCTAGATGAAATGTCAGTACCACCAAATACAGAACAACTGGGACGTCCCATAGTTGTACGACTGGCGAATAGCTATATACGTGACCAGCTCGTTCGAAGTGCTCGACTGCGACAGGGTAGCAACACTACCATTTTTATAAAAGAGAGATTGACTCAAGCTGTTAAAGATTTATTTTATCGCACTCGTGAAGCCGCCAATGCCCATAATTGGAAATTCGTTTGGACGAAACATGGAAAAATTTTCACTAAGAAGAGTGAAAATGAACCAACTCACTTAATTCACTCTGATGCTGATATCGAACGCGTTTTTAGTGAAGTTGGAACTATTGAAGATGAATTTAAGTTTGAATACTAGTTATAGTTTCGTTTATGACTGCCATCAATATATTCGTTTTTGTAACATAATTGTTTTATTATTATAATATGGATAGCAACTAACTTTAATATAGCAAAAAGATAAAAATATTTAGATAGTGTTAGGATGAAAGTTTTACGAACTTTAAATACATCTATTGAAATAACATATAACATCTACAAAACAGAATGTGTTCAACATAATTTTTGGAATACATTATTCAGTTTGATACAAATTAACACGAGCGAACGTAATTATATTAATCATTCAAACAGGTAAAAGTGACTAGACATGTAAATCGAATCGCACGATCGAAACGAAACTTTGTTAAGGATTTTAACATTGAATTTATAACATTATACGAATATGTTGTCTATGGGTCTGTAAAACTTCTACATATCCATACAATTATGAGTACTTTCTTAATTTTGAAAAGTTTAAAAGTAGACATTTCATTTTAAGTTAATATAACTTGACCTCTTTATATTTGCCTTGAAGGGAAAATTTCTAAATATCTATTAATTTGACAAAGATTTTTATAACAACTATCGTGAGACATACTAAATTAACTAAAAATCGCGGGTTACTTACGAGAATATACTGAGAAAAGCTCTACTAGTTTCGAACCACAGAGGGGTTCTTCCTCATGAGTATCGTGCGCGGTCGCGGCGATGTGATGTTTAGTTAATTGACAAAGATTGTAATATAAAATGAAAGAAATTAAATTTGACACAAACCAGGAATAAGAAAATGTTAAAATAAATCCTCTAGGTGCACATAGTGAACCGCCATTGTATTTAAGGAGACATCCGCCTAAGAGTGAATAATTCACCTATACGTACGAAGCGTTTCACATCCAGTTTTTGTTATAAGATAAACTAGGGAGTGGAATTATTTGCCAAACATCCGTATATTTATAATTTAGATGTTTTCCCGAGTAAATATATTGGTCGCTTATGGATAGACATGCTCCATCGTAGGCCGCATCTTCATTAACCACCATACAAGATATTGGCCAAGATATATCTAAGTTTTAGGTACGATGTGGCAAACGTAGCCTATTGGCTAGCTTATAAAAAAGATAATGTTTAAAGGTCGACCTATTTGTCATAAAAAATTACACGAAAAACCATTGCTTTAATAATATCCTATGTTGTTAATTACAGCAAAACACACGTAACTGGGACCCAGTTAAGTCTTTTGCGGTAAGCACCCGTTATTCCTGCATTTAAGCATATTAGTCGAACCGTACGTTTATTTGTCCGCAAATAAATTAATTGGCGCCGAGCGCAACAATCAGTGACAATGTTTAAACAGTGAACTCATGATCAGTTTGTTTTGTCGTTTTGTCATCTCCGTAGCGAGTTAAGGTAAGAACAACATTTGGTATTTTCTTTCTTTAAATTTCGGCACTATGCACTATGTATAATAGATATACGGGATTTGATATTTGATGATTTGATTTAAAAAAATTTAAAGCAGTAGTCCACCTGTAACTGTTGAAATCCAAGCTACCGGTGGTCAGGGCTCCTGAGAGAGGAATCTCCGGGCAATACGCGCCGTGTCCAGCAGTACCTGCTGCTTTCTGTATCAGGCCCTTGACCTAACCATCAAACGCTAGCATACTCAGATGTTGGTCGAGGCTTTTAGCAATGAGGTCATTCGCAGATACGACATCGGCACAATATACATTATAATTATTATTGTTAAATTTGATCTCAGATCAGTTAACATAAATTGTATCCCGGGTTAACTACAGTTACTCAATCTTTCCATTCCATTTCTTCTAACGTTCTTCTTTAGTTATTTATTGGCATAAAATACACGAAATATTGTGGTCAGTTCAACATTTATTTTCTATGTTATTTATAGTATCTTGGACCGGATCGTCCAACAATTGGAGAGGAGGTGAGTACATCAAATACAAAGAAATAATTTATTTTTTATTACAAAATAACTACAAAATAACTTTTTCTTGACTCCTCGAGGACAAAACTCAACTTTTTTTATTAGTAAAATTTGAGTTATACTTATAACAAAAATGAATGTGGCACTCATTAGTTTTAACATTTACATCACTTAATATCTCATATGATGAGAGGCAGGATTATGTTCTGGTTGCTCAGACATAATTTGGGTGAATAAATGTATAATATACACTATACTAGTGTACCTAAACTAGCAAACCTGGCGAACTTCGTTTCGCCGCCAGATGGCTTCGTTTTATGTAACATTTTGTTTGGTGATAAAAAGATGAAGATACATTTTTTTTATATTTTATAAACCTCACGGAGTCCGAGACCTTTCTAACGAATGCAAAACCGTGGAAATCGGTTCGTGCGTTCTGGAGTTATAGCGTCAGGAAGGAAAACCCGACTTATTTTTAAATAGTAGATAAGAAAAGTGTTTAGAATTAATCACTGAGTTTATTGTAATCACAAGGTACAGTAACTGGGCACTAAGCGACACGTAGGGCAGATCCATGAAAACGTCTTCACTCGGTGGCAACTTGAACTGAAGTGAACTCCTAAGAAAATCCTGTAGTGTGGGTCAACGATTTTTTAAGAAAAAAAAATCCGCGCCTATATAGGTAGTTTAAAATAACCATGAATTGTTATGTTACTTGATTTGACACTCTTATTTAAATTCCATAGGAATGATGACAGAGTATGAAAATTAGAAATATATATTTAGTCAGTTAGGTAATGAAAAAATATTGGATACGTATTTTTTATTTTGTTGTATAATAAAATAATACTAAGATAAAACGAATCAAAGTCTAGGAGTGGGAGCTAAAACATCATTTCTACGTATACAATGTACATAGAAGCGACGTCACGCGACATTTCTAAATAAAAAATACGTGTCTAATGTTTTAAAATAATCTACCAGACGGACATTTAAATAAAAAATAGATATCTACCCTATTGTTCATTTACTTATGTTTTTTTTAACACAGCCATTATTACACCAAGCAATTTTTGTTAAAATTTACAGAAACCCTTGCTACCAACTGTAAAACCTCAAACGGTGAGCATTTACATGGCAATTTCATTAAAAATGTCTAACAAATACTCGATATAAATCACATTTTATTTAATTAATTATTTTTATTATAGAGATTCAAGGTGGGGGTACCATTTAACTTACAACATTTTGAATTTTATAGTATCATTATTAAAGTTTTGATATATTTTCAAACAAGTCTATAATATTAATATAACCACAGAATTCTTTAATATGTCTGTGAATATAACACACAATTAAACTTAAATAAGAGTATCAAATCGTAACATGATATTAACATTATTTTTACTTGACAGTTTTACATAACAATGATAATGTTAGGTCTAATAAGTGCCACATACTTACAATTAAAAAAAAACCTTTAAGAGTAGTCCTACCTTATTTCTATATCTTACTTCTTATTTTATTCGACGAAAAAAACTTATTATTTGATAATTATTTACAGTTTGTTAGATCGGATCGCCCTGAAGTAAGCAAAATAGATTAATTTATATTTTTTATTACAATAAAATGATATATAGTAATGACTAGTTCTAATTTCTTTTCTCCCCTTTTAAACCCTCCCCGGACTTCCAAGAACATTTCAAGACCAAAATTACCCAAATCGGTTCAGCCGTTCCCTAGTGTTAGCGAAACTAACGAACGGAAATACATTTTTTTATATAGATTGTATCTATACAAACTTTCTTGCTATCAAAGAATCAAAATAGTTTTATTACAAAAGACATGATTTTTCGTTCAACTTTATGTTTATGTTTTCTAGAAAAAAACTATGGCCTTCCAGCAGTCGGTAAACACAGAGCCACAGGTTTCTGCCCAGAAATATTATAAGGTAACACCACCAAACTTTAAAAATGTTATTTAAGTATTATAAAATTCAAAAATAGTAGCTTCTCAGTTCTTAGGTATATGCGAGCTAGTTAACTAGAATATAAAAAGTATTATACATTTTTACAGCCACCATTGGACTTGCAGAAAATTCAAATGCTGGTAATTTAATACAATAATTATAAACAGATACTAATATTATTGTAACAGATTAGGGCTGGATGTTTCCACAACGAATTCAAAAACAGAAAATTGGCGGGAACGCAAAGCGTCTTCGAACACGCTCACTCACTCAACGTTTCGGCGGCGACTATTCGCTATTGGCGCGAGCGCGGGGCCCGCTCGAACGAGGCGTAGGCGGGGCTTCGAATTTTGAATTTTAGCGCGAACGCAAATTCACTACATTAGCACCATTTTTCATATCGCACTACAAAGGAGGTTTAAAACATAAGAGTTGCCTACAATTATAAATAACATTTTTTATGAAGATCTTCACAAATTCTATAGTCTGGAACAAGATTGGCTAGATTTTAACACGGATGATATTAATTTTATCATTTACTATCATTAAACATTAATCTTTTTTCTCTAGGAACAATCACCGCAGTTCGAGGAGTATCAAAAACGGAAATTGGTAAAATATATATATATTTTTAAATATTTCTAACTGGTGCTTTATCAATATTACCGGCAATGCAAGTGACTCTTCTGGTGTTGCGGGTGGCCATACAAAATCCCTAATGAAAAATCAACTCAAAAAGAATAAATTAGTTAATTTAATATTCGTACTGTTTGTTATACATAATTGTGATGTTTTTTCTTTAGCTGGAAGCACAACAATTTATACAGGAATATCAAAAGATGGTAATTACACATACTAATTGTTTTTCATTTATTTGAAAACATTGAATAATGTAATAACTTTATTTTAATATAGGAAATAAATAACATCAGTAAAATGAGTGTTTATAAAGTATCGATTTTTAATCAATTTTCACAGCAGGAGGCCAAAAAACAAGCACAACAGACATATCAAAAACCAACAATGGTAAAATTCAGACAGATCTTTTATTATTAATATAATGTTTATAGCGTTTTTGAAATAAGTTAAAATTCTCAGTAGTAGCACGGAGCCTGAAATTGTGCCCGGTATATGGCAATAGGCTCACTCCCTATTACTTGGGACTCATAACACACATGTATTGCGTATATATAGATATTAGACACAACCTTCTTTGTGGAAAAAAAAATGTGGTTAATGTAGCACGTAAGATTTTTGTAACAATTAATTTTGACTGTAAATTAAAAGATAATGTAATGGAATGACAAGGGCACGGACAAGAGTCCGTGGAGAATAAGAAATGTAATATTAAAAAAAAAAAAAAAAAACATACATAGTGAAATGTGTGCTGTAATGTGCACCTCAGGTTACCGCTTCGGGGATAAAAGGCGTGATGTTATGTATCTTACCTCTATACTATTAAATAAAGCGGAAGAGTTTGTCTTTTTTTTGTTTGTTTGTTTGAACGCGCTTATCTCCGTAACTACAAGTCTGATTCGAATAATTATTTTATGTGTTGGATAGCGCATTTATCGAGGATGGCTATAGACTATAAAACATCACGTTACGACCAATGGGAGCTGAGCAGAGCGTGTGAAACTGCGCGGAAGTAGCTAGTGTGAAATAAATGTATGTACGAAAATGATTTTGTGATTTTCAGCCACCGCCACCAAGACCAAAGCCAAAACCCGTGCAAACTTATCAAGATAAATACAATATAAAGCACCATCTGGTAAGATTTTATTTTAAGGTCACAGTACTATTGTATTTTACAATGCTATGCTTGATGTATGATGATTTTAGACTTTTTAAGTGTAGGACAGCTATGCTTCGGCACGAATGGGCCGCTCGACCGGAGTGACCACGGCCTCACAGAAAGCCGACGCGAAACAACGCTTGCGATGTGTTTCGTCGTGTGAGTCAGATTACCGGAGGGGCTGAGGCTCCCCAAACTACCTGATCCCCGAATCACCAACCATCCTTATATTCCCAAACCTTAAAAGGCCGGGAACGCACTTGTTCGTCCCTGGTGTTTCGGGTGTCAATGGGCGACACCGATTGCTTACTATCGGGAGATCCGTCTGCTCTTTTACCTCCTATTCCATAAAAAAAACACATTACATAAGCCAGAATGGGTAATTCTACGGAGCCGCGGAAGGCCTAACGGGTTGCCGGGGCTCCTGTGTCGTGGATGAGTTAACAAACATACAAGTTCACATACACATGACACCTAGACCCGGAATAAAAATCTGTGGATCACACAAGGAATTGTGCTATCCACAGATCACATGATCAGATCAGATGACCCATCTAAACAATGATGATGATGAATAAAGAACGCCGTGCGGCAATCGAACCCGCGACACGTTGTGCGACAGCCAGTTACCCAGCCACTGCGCCAACCGTGCAGCTATCTTTTAGAATGAACTAAGATTTTTTTTTTCTATTTTCATGATCCGTCAGGAACTTCAAGATCAAATATTGGTAAGTATAGATTTTTACTTAACATAACATTATTGAAATATCGTTGAAGATACAACATTTGAATGTGAAATCTTCTTTGGTTTAGAGTGGACTTAATCCTACTGAGTAAGTATGAGTAAATAAATAAAATCTAAACATAAGAAACCTCTTCAAAATATTCAAAATATATAGGTATAAATAAAAAAATATTTTTATTCGTTAGTCTCGCCGAAACACGATAATGGCTGAACCGTTTTGGGTAATGTTTGTATTGAAATGTTTTTGAAGTCAAGGAATGGTGTTAATGCTGAAAAAGCAATTGGCAGTATGAAATTTGACGGGTCAGCTAATTAGACATAAGTTTTTATGTCTGATTGATGAAAGTCGAAGCTATTCTATCTAGTCTAATAACAACCGCGAAGTTCTCAAGGATCTGGTCTTAATGCAAATTGTGGGAGAGCCATGCTTCGGCACGAATGGGCCGGCTCGACCGGAGTGATACCACGGCCTCACAGAAAACCAACGTGAAGCAACGCTTACGTTGTGTTTCGTCGTGTGAGTGAGGTTACCGGAGGTCCAATTACCCTCCCTTCCCCAATCTCCCCAATCTCTGAATCCCCAACGATCCTCAAACTCCGAATCCCCAAAATGCCACGCACTTTTAACGCCTCTGGTGTTCCAGGTGTCCATGGGCGACGCCGATTGCTTACCATCTGGTGATCTATATGCTCGTTTACTGGCTTATGCCATAAAAAAAATCTAGTCTGATATCAACCGCGAAGTTCACAAGGCTCTGGTCTTAATGCAAATAAAGTTGTATCTGTTTATTATTAATTTTCAGGTACAGTGACATCCCTCGAGGTATAAAAACATACGCCAGAAGAAAGCGATTCGAAGTTTTTCAAATTCTGTAGAAGTTTAGGTCAAATTCAAATAATAATGAAGTTTAAGAACGAATACTTTGTTTTATTTTAAATCCCTGTGTTATAGTAGTTTATTTATGTCTGTTTTATGATTATTTTACTTTGATTATTGATTTATTATTTTTTATTATTTATTATTACTGGGTTTTTAAAAATCCCAGTAGTAGCACGGAGTCTTGAAATGTGCCCGGTATATGGCAATAGGCTTACCCTCTATTACATGGGACTCATAACATAAATAGTGAAAAGTGGGTGTTACATTGTACAGTGGCAGTAAAAGCCGTAATGTGCACCTCTGCTTACCCCTTCGGGGATAAAAAGGCGTGATTTTATGTTTTGTTTTACTTTGATAATTTGACCAGAATGTTTGATTTCCATAAAACAAGAATTCTAGGAACTCTAATTCGATTCCTGTGTCGGAAAAGTATCATAACCTCATTGTCTACTACGTAGGACTTGACAATATAAATAAAAATAAATTTCCGTTCGTTAATCTCGCTATAACTCGAGAACGGCTGAATCGATTTCCCTAATTTTAGTCTTGAAATTTTCGTGGAGGTCCAGGGTAGGTTAAAAAATAATTCAGGCGATACGAAGTTTCCCGAACCAGCTAGAAAAGTACTTATGTGCTACGTTTAACGTGGTGTACGTATTCCTTTAAGAATTAAAAGGTTTCATAAAGGTCTAGGAGCTAGTTCATAGGCTTAATACTTTTTTTTAAGGGGGAAAATCATCGAATAACTGCTCCCACCTGGGTGAGGCGGGAGGGAGTGTCAGACTCTTACTGACTAAAACCACCCTGTTTCTTCTCCTGCACGTCGAGCCGGAACCCCGGTAACCCGTTAGGTTCTCCGCGACTCCGAATCGGCATCGGCTCTGTTGGGCCCCATCTGTGGTGGTCTGATGGCTCTTTGAGGCGCGTTCGGAACGCGACGGGCCGTACGCTCGGGTCTGTTTCTGGTCGGACGGGAAGCCGTCATGCTCGCCGTCCGCAAGGCTTAATACTGGATATAATTCTTAAACTACGTTTAAAAAAACCTACTTAAACCCTCTCTTTTTTTAAGTCGGTTTATTAATATATACTAAAATGAACAATGAAGAAGTCACCAGGCAAAGGCAATATGTTATTAAAACAATTATTTTAATCTACACAGATAAAATAAAATTGATGTGTCTGTTTGTAATATTGAAATAACATTTACCAAAATAACACTTTACAATTTTTATCTGTCTGTCGGTTTGTCTAATCTCTGCAATAGCTGGACCGATTTTGCCGGGATTGTTATTGGCTGGTAGCTAATGTACTAAGGAGTAACATGGCTATTTTATTTCAGAAAAACGCAGACGAAGACGACGAACTCAATACAACTTCATTGCCACGACTGCCATGAGAATATAACAAAACCGCGTACCTATTTCATTACGCGTGTATTTTTATTGATAGGTTTTTTATAACTGGCTAGCCGCAAGTTAATTTCATGGCAATCAGTCAAATGTTATTGTTGTTATAAATAAAAGTTAATGTTTCTAACAGTTATAACAAAGACAAGAGTTGATTCAATAATGAAATGGATTCCGCTGTACTTATATTTGTTTTTACTTTAATTATTGTAAGAAATAATATAATTATTTACAATTAGCTCCATAAGTTAGTTTGTGCGTCATCACATTTTTGGATATTTAATGAATGTCATTTTGATCATGGAATTAATTAATTTGAATATTAACTGGCCTGTGTATTAGGTTGTCCAATGACGTCAGTCTTCAAAATTATCTTCTTTTATTTACTAAACATCAATGTTTTTAGCTTTTTACTATTTTTTTATAAAGAAACAAAATAATAAACATTCATAACCTTAAAACTAGTAAACAACAAGAATAAATAAAATCACAGACAATTTTTTTTTAACTTTAAATTTGGAATCCCTATAGAAGTACATTCAGCCAGCAATACCAATAAAGTTTTATTATTTGCAGAATATTTTAAAATGCGAAGCTATTTCATTGGAAGAAACAATAAATTTATTATTGGTAAGTGTTTCTATATTTTTAAGCAGAAAACTGAATATCATGATATATTGCTCAATATTTTAAAAACAAATCAATTATTTATTAACAGAAATACAGAAGGAATTTAGAAGCGGCGAAAGAGGCTAAAGATAAGGTAAGTTTAAAATTGTATACATCTAAATGTAAATTGTTTCTTGAAATGTATATGTAAAAGAATGCTTATTACTCTTGAACGGCTGCAGTAAAATAAATCATTATTTTTGGAGTGTTCCATGTCCAAAGAGAAAAAAATCGAAACTAGAGTCGTTAGCATAGAAAGTATAATAAATATCTTACATAGATAATATATGTACACTTTATTCACAACATAACGTTAGATACCAAATTATGTGCAGATTTCAAAAATGTGTTAAAACCTATTTTGTAATTTATTAAATCTACTTTCTTTCACAGTTAAAGAACATAAACCTAAAAACGAAAAAATATGTAAGTTTCAAATGCTATAATACTTATAAGTAAGACCACACTTTTAACCGACACCTAAAAAAGAGGTTGTATTACCTATCTTCTTATTTACTCATTCTAAATCCTACCAAACATCATAATACCATATCGTAGGGGATAGTGCAAATCTGTGAATCTACCATACGTACAGGCCGCGTAACTGCAGTTCTGCAATAGATCCAGTTATACAAGGAAAGGTTAAAACTTAATACCTCTATTAATTCAATGAATTTGGAGTTTACTTTTAGATATCTATTAAAATGAGTCAAAATGAACTCGTAGTAACTCGAACTCGGATTCTTATGCGAAAATTAAATTAGATACATCTGCCAGATACGCGGAATTATCCAATGCTAGTATTATACCTATTCCGTAATAATTACATTCCGCAGATTTTCTATAACATACCTACTTATTTACAGAGAAGTAGTTTTTACGGGGACGAGGAAGATGAAGATGAAATAAGTTATGTAAGTTGAGTACACATACCTAATAGTCCCATAGGTCTATCTAATCTATGACAAACTCCTACATACCAGAAAAAATGTTATGCATTTTTTTCACCTGGTATTGAACATATTTAGAACCAACGGGATAAAAAGCACTCTATTATTTAATCCGGACTTCTAACTTTACGTCTGCAAAATTTCAAAGCAATCGGTTTAGTAGTTACGCCGTGAAAACAAAAAGTAAATGTGCAAACACAGCAGAAAGAAATTTTATCTGCTAACCTATCACATCGTATTTTTTTAACCACAGATAATAAAATATAATGATTACACCTAAATTCTAAAGACAATAAAAATATAGGTAATTAAAAAAAATAGAAATTTAATTACCAAAAATCACCATAAAAGTTTCTTGTACACTTATAAAAGAAATTTGACACTGGCCACAAACAATTGGTATTATTAAAAAAAAAAACAATTGCGTTAATTTTTTGTTTAATTTCCTCAATACTTTTTTTATGTGTGTCTAACTATTATTCCATGTTACAAAGCATTTTTTTTAAATATTGGAATCTATACGAACATGCATTAGTATTATTATGTATTTATAATTTTGTTTTAGAGAAGAGCTTTTGTAAGTGCGGAAGACCTTGGAGATTTTGTAAGTATTTTTAATTAATTACTTACCTATAGTATTTTTAAATTATCAAATGTGTAAGCTAATCATATTTATTTAAACATATAAAATGTCCACATAATTATAGTTATCATCAATTCTAATTTCTATAAATTAATTAATATTTTTCTAAAAATAAGATTTAAATTGTTACTAAAAATTGTCTATGGTTTATGTTTCTTTATGGTTGTGCGTAGCAACACTGAAAAAAGGGCGCGAATTGATGAAAGCATTTGAGCGTCGAAAGAATATGTTTATTGCAATGATTTTTTATAGTAAAAAATCATTGGTTTATTGGTTTTTATTGTCAAAAATTGTAAAGTGAATAAAGATAAAGTGGAGTTGTGAATTAAAATCTGTGTCGTTTTCAAATGCATATAGATTTACTTATACAGAAATTCTGTAAAACATTCCTACATTATAATTTCAATTGCAACCATGCCTACATGCCTTAATTTTTTTTTTGTAATTACAACATTTCATTAACAATATTTCATTTTATTTTTTTCACAGAGAAAAAACACGAAGTATGGATATGGTACCAACGACCTATATACACCAAGTGTAAGTCAGTGTTTAATAAATAATCCCTAGTTACTTTCGTGGATTTGCAGAGGCATAATTTTTTTTTTACAAAACTGAATGTGTTAAATTTATTCATCATCAACACCCTATAAATGCCCACTGCTGAGCAAAGCCTCTTCTCACACGGAGAAGGTTTGAGCATTAATCACCACGCTTGCTCAATGCGGGTTGGCGATTACAAACTTATAATTAGAAATTATAAGCCCAGGTTTCCTCACGATGTCTTCCTTCACCGTTTGTCAGTGGTGTCTGAATAATCTTAGAAAGTACATATAACTCGGAAAAAGTCACATTGGTACTTGCCTTTGGTAGGTTTCGAACCGGCACCCTCATGCATGAGAAGAATTAAGACGCCCGTCTTAAACCTCCGGGCCACCACGACATATACCTCCATATCTATTACTTATAATAAATCTGTAGAGAGGTCAATTCTGTACATAAAATATATTTAAAAAATAACTATCAAGGGGTGGTTAGGGATCGCTACTGATGCCAAAAATGCAATCAGTAAAATTTTTGTCTGTCTGTCTGTCTGTCTGTATGTTCGTTATGGAAACAAAAACTACTCGACGGATTTTAACGAAATTTGACACAATTATTCTTCATACTCTTGGGCAGGTTATAGTATACTTTTCATTACGCTACGATCAATAGGACCAGAGCAGTAAAGGGAAATATTGAGAAAACGGGAGAAGTTACTCCATTTTTTAAGCTTCCGTCGCGTGTGCATGCTTATAGGTTAAAGCTACATAGAAATCATGTAGGACGGAAATATTTTCCTTAAAATTATATAAAAAATATTCCTCGACAGCATATGTCTATCTTTTATGGTTGACTCACAATAACACGTGAATCTCCCGATAACTTAGCAATTCGGTGATTTCTGATTGTATTTGTCTACTCTAACGTTCACAATACTCATTCATAGACTTTACGCTGTAACTGAAAGGCCAATGGTTGAAATTAGCTTGACTCGATATTATAAATGAAAATATGTGAGTTTATGTGTATGTTTGTTACTCAGTCATATTAAAACGACTGAAGGGACCGGAATGAAATTCGGAACAGAGGTAGATTATGGTCTGAAGTGATACATAGGCATTTTACCCCTGGGATCGCGAGCGAAGCTGCTGGCAGAAGCTAGTATATATATAAATTAATTAGTTAAATGTAAACTATAGTCATAGTTTTACGTCTATAAGCATAGGCCTTTGGACATACCTGTATTTGATGACTTTATTTATAATTTAATACATATTTTTAGCGTCGATTATATGACTTCCATGCTGGAATGAGGTCGCCAATACTTGGATCTCCAACGGTACCCAGTCAGCTGCCCGAAGCTGAAGCCATTCTCCCTGGGCATACGCTGATCAGACCAGCTCTGGGAATGCTCAAATCTGCTGTCAAGTTTCCACATAAAGACCTGGACAATGGTGCTGGAGTTTATGGAAATTTGGATAATTTGGGTATCACGTAAGTATAAGAAATCCGATAACTATGCTATAGAATTATCCTATTTAGTAAATTCATAACATCACACTGTATAATCTTCGAGGATAGGATATAACTAAAACTATGTCGTATGGCATCTTCGAAAATAGATTGAATGGTCGTTGATCAAATGTAAACACAGTAACTTTTTTATCAAATATCCGTTTACCAAGTGATGTTTCTTTGTTATTAAACTCTCTAATCTAACGGCGAAAACATAAATTTAAAAAATATAACTCCAAAGAATTAATTTGAAATAAATAAAGATTAGGTACGTTTGAAGGCGACCGCTGCTGTTTAATTATTAAGGATATATCAGTAATTTTTAGAAATGCAGTTTTGTAGCAAAATGTTGAATTCTGCATGTTTTACGTACGTTTATGTTTCCAGATATGGTGGTACAGGCGAACGAGTATTGTACACTGGATTCAGAAGAAATAATAATGACTTCTTACCATCTGTAAGTTTTCTTTTTTTTGTTCAGGAATTGGGGAGATTGGGGAAGGGGAGGGTAATTAGGCCTCCGGTAACCTCACTCACTCGGCGAAACACAACGCAAGCGTTGCTTCACGTCGGTTTTCTGTGAGGCCGTGGTATCACTCCGGTCGAGTCGGCCCATTCGTGCCGAAGCATGGCTCTCCCACACTTAATAAGTGTATGTGAACTTGTATGTTTGTAAACGCACCCACGACGCAGTAGAAAATCAGGAGAATTTTTGTAAACATTAAATATATTTTCTTTGATATTATTCTCATTGTGCAGGTATCAAGTGAAGCCTCGAACTTTAAGCCAAGGTGAGTCCAAATTATTTATCTAAATGAAACCTTTGTTTATTTTTAACTTACTTTTTTTATATAACTTTATTTATTTAGAGTCTTTTGATCACATAAAAACCATGCCAGGCCCATCATTCCCTAAACAGATTTAACAAAACTTAAATTCTGCTTTGGATAAAGGTTGTGACAATATACTGTGAAAAACGCCAACATCTAAGAAATTAATTCTAAACATATGTTTCAAAGCGAGAGGCTTTGAAACCCAGCCCTCGTCCTGACACATTCTACCAGCAAGTGGTGGACATCCTCCATAGTGTCACACTCTGATTTATAACGTACTAATTCATCAAATTTAGTTTAAACGTCTTTTTGGTCTCTAAATGTCTTTTGCCTTCCTCATACAAAAGATTTTCAATAAAAATATACTAATCAATATTTAGCTGTATTGTCAACCATATTTAATTTAATTTTATGAATATTTGACATACTTACGTTTTGTTTCTCCTAAAGATACATAATAGCACTAGTACGCAAGAAACCACGAAATAAGGTAAAAACAAATACAATAATTACGACAACAACTGAAAATAAATGCTTTGCTTTTGACTTTATGTTTTTAATTTCAAAATAATATAAAATCCTATTATATAAGCGATTTACCAATAGTGGGATTTGAAACCCACTATTTGGGTAAATAATTGATAGACTGATGAAGTTCCGAAGGCACATCAATAATAATTGTTATATTTTTATTATAAATATCGTATTTTAACAATTTAATTTCAAAATAATAATAACAATCCTATAATAATAAGCGATTTACCAATAGTGGGTTTTAAAACGCACTATTTGGAAGTTCCGAAGGCATATCAAATGTTATATTTTTATTATAATTATTGTATTTTAACAATTTAATTTCAAAATAATAATAACAATCCTATAATAATAAGCGATTTACCAATAGTGGGATTTAAAACGCACTATTTGGAAGTTCCGAAGGAATATCAAATGTTATATTTATTATAATTATTGTATTTTAACAATTTAATTTCAAAATAATAATTATAAATCCTATTCGAGCGATTTACCAATAGTGGGATTTAAAACTCACTATTTGAAAGTTCCGAAGGAACATCAAATGTTATATTTTTATTATAATTATTGTATTTTAACAATTTAATTTCGAAATAATAATAACTATTCTCTTCGAGTGATTTACCAATAGTGGAATTTAAAACCCACTATTTGGAAGTTCCGAAGGCACATTAAATGTTATTTTTTTATTATAATGGTTGTATTTTAACAAGGATAAACCAGTAGCACGATTCCGAGATTACGGCAAGCTAGAAAGAGAAAAAAAGCAACTACTTCTAAATAGTTTCAGTCCGAAAACGATGTGAGTAGCGTATTTTGATAACTTATTTTTAATTTATTTCCTTCATGTATTTAAAGAAATATTTAGTTCTAGGTAAGGTTTAACCTGTGATAATAGACTTTCCAATACAAATGTTTTTTTTTTATTTGGACCAATAGTTTTGAAGATAACCGTGTCCAAACAAGCCAACAATTTCTTCAGCTTTACCTATATAAGTGATTTTCATTAACTCAATTACGAAATTTATTTTACTTACGGTAGCGATGAGGAAAACTTTTTCTTTGATGCCTTATGATATCTACATTTTTATTTTTTATTTTTTTAAGGTGTAAATATTTTAGTTTTAAATTATTTATATTTTAAGTTGTATAGGTATATTTATTTCATTTAAATTCTAATCTAAATAAATTACTTTTAATTACGAAAATTAAATTAAACTTCGTAATGTTTTATTTCATTTAAATGAGCAGGAATGAGACAGAAAGACTGGTAAGATTTTCGTTTTTAGTGAAAAGAAAAATATTTTCATTGCATTTACTTATTATAATAATTCATTCAATTATTCTAAAACAGAGGAACACAAAAAAACTCGCCAAGGTAGATATACCTCTTTCTCTTTAGCTGTTTTCTCTTTAACTATAACTATAATAAAACCTAAAACGTAAGTTATGATATTTTTACTGTTTTTTTATTACTTAAGCCGGTAAACGAGCAGACGGATCACCCAATAGTAAGCAATCGGCGTCGCCCATGGACACTGGAAACACCAGAAGTTATTACAAGTGCGTTACCGGCCTTTTAGGGATTAGGAATTTGAGGATTATTGGGGATTGGGGGTATGGGGTTGTTTTACGTCGGTTTTATATGAGGGCGTGGTATCCTCCGGCCTCGCACACTAACCTAAGTGAATATACTTAGGTATATATTTATATACCTATAGAATGATATTTTATAACTTCACTTATTTTATATTTTCGATTTACTTTTAGACTTATAAAACAAACGGAATCACGTTAGAGGTAGGTGTCTTAATAAATTATAATTTCAAGTAAATAATGTAGAATTATAGTGTAATATATGTTTTTTTTTATTTTATATTATTAACTGTCCTTAGTACACAGTGTATAAAATATGTTTTTATACTGTAGTAATAGTATGAAATTTCTTTGTACTCTGAATTTTGTTTCGACTGTTCATTACCTTAATATATACAGGGTGACTTGTAACTCGACATATTCCTCTCGGGAGGTGATAATAGTTGTATTATCACCTCCCTAACTACCACTACCAATCAAACTAGCCACTTTCGGAACAGACACCTCAGGATTATAAATAATTAGCTAATTTCCTACAAAATTAATCCTGAATTTAATCCTGAGGTCTCTGGTCCAAAAGTGGCTAGTTTCTGAGATATTCAACATTTTCGGTTTTAGTGAAAAATAGTTCGATCGGGATCTTTTTAGACATGTAAACGTCCTATTTGATTGCCTATTTACTAAAATAAATGCTATTAAGTAATAATAATTATAATTTGTAAATATTCTGCAGTTTTTTGAAATACCTAAAATTAAAGAAGAAGCCGAAGAAGCCATGTTGGTAAGTTATGCTGTGTAGTTTACTTCAAATGAATTGTATTTTTATTCATATAATTATGAAAGCAATCTTTTTATTATATTCACAGAAGGAGCATTACCATGAATCTGTAAAACCCTATACAGCGGTAACTATCATTTTTCTTTTTAAATATATTTTTTCTTTTGTAAAATGTATAAACTCTTTAGTAAAAAGGTAAAAACAAAGAAACAATAGAAATCCATTGTTTTATTTGTTTGTGAATCGAACAAAAACATTAAGCGCTGGTTTGACTACCTCCATATAAGTACCTGATAATCTTTGTGACAGATAGTTCATACAAATTATGTTCTTAATTCAAATTCATCTGGTAGGTAACAGCTATCCAGCAGCTGTAGCCAAATACCATTTAGCGTTTGTCTACATGTAGAATAGAATCCCAATTTGTATGGAATTGACGTAAATTCTGACACTTGTCAGTGTCATCCCCATACTATTAGTTCAAGAAAGTGGCATAACGGTCAATGTTTTTGTTTTACTTATTACCTTTTTCCGTTAAAACTACAATACAATCTCTATTTCACAAACAGTTTTTAGAAGCCACAAGGGCAAAGAACTTTGATTCGGTATGTTTATATTTTTAATTTTTTTACTTGGTTTTTTTATGGGATAAGCCGGTAAACGAGCATACGGATCACCTGATGGTAAGCTCAGCATCGCTCATAGACACCCAAAACACTAGAGGCATTACAAGTGCGTTATCGGTCTTTTGGGGATTAGGAATTTGAGGATTGTTGATAATTCAGGGATTGGGGAAATTGGGCCTCTGAAAACCTCACTCACAGGATAAAATACAGCGCAACCGTTGTTTCCCGTGGGTTTTCTGTGAAGCCGTGGTATCACTCCGGTAGAGCCGGCCCATTCGTGCCGAAGCATGGCTCTCCCACACTTAAAACCTTATATTAGGTATAGGTCATATTATTACCTTAAACTTTCTATGATTTTTTATTATATTTAATATTTTTTTATATAATAAAGTAGATGTATAGTAAAATAAGTCTTTCTTTTTTATTTAACTGTATAATGTTTTGGGTTGCGCTGTAAAATTATGCATGTGTTTGTGAATAATGGATAAATATATAATAACATGTATTTTAGGTTGAAATGCGTTTTCCGACCATAGCAGAAGAATATCCAAAAGACGTAAGCATTTTTAGTAGTTAGTAGTAAATAGTAGCCTTTTTGATAAGAAATAACTGATCAGTGCACTGTATAATCATACATATAGACATTATTATTCATTGTTCAGTATTTAAAACACTGACAGATTCAATTTATTTTTGTTAACACTTTGTTATGCATATACTAAAACTTTCGTGAGGCTCATTAAATTAATTATTGTGTTTTCGGCTTACGTAATTATTTGACGAGGAACTCGACTAGTCTCAAGCCATACTAGACGCTTATATATATGAGTAGTACCTATTCTATGATACGCGACGCGGCGACTGTCGCGCTACTACTAAACATGTATGAGCCTCTAGCATGGCTTGAAACTAGTCGAGTTCCTCGTCAAATAGTTAGGTGAGTAAGCCGAAAACATAATAATTAACATTGTAATGTTGATTATTCCAGAATGCATTTACTCAAAAAAGGGCCAAGTATGTAATTTTTTTATTTTTGAATTAAATAATAAATAAATTCAGTCATTTTTTATAATAAACAGCCTCTGTTTTTGTATCTGTTACTAAAATTGGTTAGCGGTTAGTAAACACACGTCTTTAAATAATTGAATTATTTTATTTCAGAAAATTAATCGCAGGTGGAATCCAATTCTATGATAGATGAAGATAAAACTGTTCCTTTAAATTATAAAATATAACAATACGGACACTGTGTCGTTTCATTTAGCAGTCTCAGTTACCTCTATGTTCTTAAATTACTCTATAATAACGTCACAATAAAATTTTAATTACAACAAAATAATTTTCACATCACGTCTATCAATACACACAGATCATCAATGCATAAATTATTTTATTGCTTTTGTTATTTTATAGTGTTGAATTTAGTGGAAAAAATAACAGAAAAGAATACTGAAAATATAATAACAAAAACGGAACAATTTGCACAAAACACCCTATAGTTAGAAGTTAAACTATAGGTATGTTTTGAAATCAGTTACACCGTTAACTTCAATAACATACTAATATACAAAACATAATATAATAATTAAGACAATAATTATTATAATTATATCATTTTTTAAATGGAACTAATAATACGTTTATCAATAATATCCATGTCAACTGTGTTTTCAATATAAATTTTGAATTAATATTTTTATTTTGAACATGTTTTATGACGCAGTTCATTTCATGGTAATTAATTATTCGAACACTATTAAAGTTATTACATCAATATGTTTTTTAATAGTTATGCGAAGGCCAGTATCAACTGAAAAATGAAATGGACTTCACTGTGACATTTTTCGTTATAACAATAATTGTAAGCCATTTTTGACTTTGTCTGAGTATTTTACTGCAGTTTTACCTAGTTTTTGTTATAATTGTAGCAATTCGGACAATACTTTTTTTCTCGTAACTAATATTTGTTTTGATATTACGTGTGATATGTGATATGAACAAATTATGATGTGACTAAAATTTGTTGAAATGGTTGCAACTAGTTTTCAATTGGCCTGGCCGATCTGAATATCATCTGGGAGACCCATATTTAGCGCTGGTCATCTTCAATTATTGTACTATGGTGACTATAGAATCATTTAGTTCATGTATCAGTATTATGATAGGTACTGACATTATGAATACACATAGGTATATCCATAATACACTGATACATAAAAAATAGTCAATTGTGTTCCACATATTGATGAAGTAAACAGCAGCTGTAGCCAAATGCCATTTAACACTTGTCTACATGTACATACAATAGAAAAACAAATTATATGGAATTAACGTAAATCTTGACATTTGTCAGTGTCATCCCCTTACATTTTGATTTCTAACTACTCTCTCTTTAAACAAGCGATAAAGTGGCGTTTGGCTAAAGGCCCTGGAAGTCATTTGCTCTGTTAAGCAAATGAATTAACAGCCGTCGTTTGTTGTGATTTTTATTCATACATCGTGTGCTATCTTGGACGCGTACCTCATTAAAATGATTTAGTTTCAGAATATATACGATTGCAATGGAAGAAAATTCAGAAACAACTATAGACTACATCAGGTAATTAGTTGTAATTGATGCAGTTTTCCAAAATTCTTACTCCAAAAAGTACATCGTCATCGTCAGAGATTAAAATATGTGATGTTATAATGATATAATAATACTAGGTCCACTAAATTACAGGCACAAAGGAGAAATTATAGACAAGAAGAGGATTCAGACGATTCAGAGATAAATAATGTAAGTTTTTAAAAATAAATCATATATAAATTATTATGTTTTCGGCTTACTCACGTAATAATTTGACGAGAAACTCGACTATTTTCAAGCCATACTAGAGGCTCATATTCATGAGCAGCATTTCGCGACCCGCGATGCGACTGTCGCGTGAAAAATCAACGTGAAGCAACGATTGCGTTGTGTTTCGCTGTGTGACCTTTCCCAATCCCCAATGCCAAAGACCGGCAACACACACTTGTTATTTTTCTATACAAACAAAGTATTAGATGGTATTATAAAAACGTTATTTAATTAGTGCATGGCAATAGGCTCACCCCCTATTACATGGGACTCATAAAATAAATAGTGAAAAGTGGGTGTTACTTCTATGTGCACCTCTGCCTACCCCTTCGGGGATAAAAGGCGTGATGTTATGTTATGTTATTTAATTAGTTAAATTACATGTATAGGATACCCACGGATATAGAAGTTAATGAAAACTTCTATCTCTCCCCTAGTAGATATTTAGTTTCCTTTTAGTATGTACATTTTATAAACTTATAAAACTATTATCTTTCCAGCAAAGATATTACAATTACCATCCTGGATCAAATACAAGGCGTAGTAATTGGGCACAAATACCTAATGCATCTGAAGAAACATTTAGGAGACATGGCGACCGTAGTTATGATAATCTTAATGTTAATGTTATAAAACTCGGGTAAGGATTTGTTACTTTCTTCTACATTTTGAACCATATTTTCAAAGTAGTAGACGAGTAATAAGTTGAAATCGTATCATCATATCCATTGCCTAAACTATTTCGAGGTTATCTACAAATACATCATTCAGTGATAGAGAAGTTAATAACATAACTTAACATCACGCCTTTTATCCTCGAAGGGGTAGGTAAAGGTGCACATTATACCACTGTACAATGTAACACCCACTTTTCACTATTTATGTCAGCCTATTGCCATATACCGGGCACAGTTCCAGACTCCGTGCTACTACTGAAATTTTTTTTTTAAAACCCAGTAATATTTTGCCCGACCCGGGAATCGAACCCGAGACCCCTTACCCGGTCACTCGACCACTCGGCCAACGAGGCAGGCAGAAGTTAATAGTGATTCAAAAATAAGTTACAATGAGACTTAGGGCTGATATTTTTAATCATCAGTTTTATTTATTAATTTTTTCTTTTAATGCAATTCAGTCTCCACTACCTCTATTTAGTAGTTGACTATTCTGTCAGCGTCATATGTTACGTCAGGTGGATACAGTACCGTACCGGAACTTTATTCACTTCGAAGTGTGTCTGCAATGTTAGTAGCTGGCAGACAGGACACAATTAATTCTTAACTCCAGAATAAAATTGACATTTGACAGTTTTCCACTGTATTCCAGTTTCCACTGAATTGTCATTTGACAATTTTTCACTGTATTGACAATAGACATTTGACAGTTTTGGAAGAATAATTTTGTCAGTTAAAACTCAGATAAATCTAGCATTGGAGAAATCAGCCCTTAATGAATTTAAACCCGTTTCTTTTTCAGGTCTACTGAAATTGATGACGGCCAATTCAATCTTAAATATACCGATGCTAAAATACTTCCAGTAAGTACATTTTCTTTATATGTTTATCACGTTTATCTTTAGTATAGATCAGGTCTTGCTTTACTAGCAACTGTATTTAATTAGTTGTCGCAGTTATGTCACCGAGAGTTCAGACAATAATTATGCTTGTCCCACGCCGGCTGGTTGTTCTTCTCGGACACCAATCGGGACCAGAATTAATTTGCCCCTATAAAAATTAATTTCGTATGCATTTTCAGCTACCGCAGGAAAAGTAAGTCTTTATCTTGATGTTTGCTTATTTATGCCTTTCATAATTTGATCTACAATAAGAACACATTTTTATGGGTATAAGCCGTGCTTCGTTTTATAGTAGATAGTATATTTAACACCAAGTTTAATCACGTTAAGAATTATATGGAAAATGTTTCACAACACATCTGTAATAGATAAATATCTAAAGTCTTATATGTAACACTATCACACATACGTGGAAGTGGGATAGTGGTACAAGTTTTATAGTAGTTCACTCTTTGATTGTCTAAAGTTTGCTGTCAGCAATAAGCCTAACATTCGAGACGCTAAATCTATCGCTCTCTTTAAAAAACTAATTAATGACTATTCCTTACCATACCTTTCTTCATGAGTACTGATAGGTTTTTTTACGTGTGTATTTTATTTATTGTTTTTATTATATATTAAGTATTTATAATACTATATTTATTTATAATATAGTTATTATTTGGCTTTGTCTTTTGTTTTAATTACATTTCCTGTCTCAGGTCTACTGGTAGAAATTCCAACAGGAATAAGTAGCACCTTTATACTCTTATTTTATACATATGTGTTATCCTCTGTGCTGTTTGTGTGTACATAAATTATTAAATAAATAAGATCTGAAACTAGTGTAGACATTTAATTTATTTAATTCTATATCCAGGTTTGTTTTAGCACTTCTAAAATTACCTGACACTGTAAGTTTCCTGTTAATATTAAGTATAATATTAAAATCTAATAATTTTGCCTGAAATACGTTTTATATTATTTTTAACCTCGGCGTGCCTCGTTGGCCGAGTGGTCGCAAGTGCGACTGCCGGGCAAGGGGTCTCGGGTTCGATTCCCGGGTCGGGCAAAGTATTACTGGGTTTTTTCAAAATTCTCAGTAGTAGCACGGAGTCTGGAATTGTGCCCGGTATATGGCAATAGGCTCACCCCCTATTACATGGGACTCATAACATAAATAGTGAAAAGTGGTGTTACATTGTACAGTGGCATTAAGTGCCTTAATGTGCACCTCTGCCTACCCCTTCGGGGATAAAAGGCGTGATGTTATGATGATGATGATGTTATGATGATGATGATGTTATGATTATTTTTAACATTATGGATTATTTTCTTAAACCATTCTTCCAATAGGTTCCACAAAAGGACGTATGGCAGAAACGGCAATAAATTTGACAAACGAAATAATAGACGCTCACAGACATTTTTAAACCAGTTGCAACTGTAAGTATATACATTATTTACAATTTGAAAATAAGTTCACAAAAAGGAATTACTGTTTTAATAAATACTTGGAAAACAAAAGCAATTGCTCGTGATTCAAGTAGTTGCCTCAAGGAGAAAGACATTATGTTAATATCACAACTAACTTCTACTAGCGGCTTCGCTCGCCTCCACGTACAATAAAAAGTAGCCTATGTGTTATCCCATATCATAATCTACTCCTATTTCAAATTTCATATAGATCTCTTCAGCTGTTTTGATGTGAAGTAGTAACAAACAAACATACAAAGTAAATTTTTTAAAGGCGTAAATATTTTTGTCTTCAGTTATTAGTATTTATAATATTAATATTAGTTTAAGTTAATTTTATTTATTGCAATGTAATTTTTCAAATCATTAAAAACTAAATAAAAAAATTTACGTACAATCTTTCACATTTATAAATATTAGTAGGAATGTATCACTTAAAAAATGCGTTTCCAAAATCTTCTTCGAATATTATTTCTTTTAAACATTTGTATTTGTAAAGGTGCTCCCCACCGGAGCATTCACGTGTAATGTAACATTATAGATTCGACTTTGAGTATTATGTTACAATAATATCTCCCTGACTAACGAGGATTTTCGTGTAATGTAAAAAAAAAATAATACATAGATTCGACTTTGACCATTTCATATCAAGATGTCAGACATTGATGTTACAAGTTGTATCAAGATATTAAACATTGTATCATTATAAGGTGCGCATTGTAATGCTCGGTTCTCCTCCTTCACTGATGTAATGCTCAGATCTGTAACGTTACATTACACGCGAATGCTCCCGGTGAGGGAGCACCTTAAACTTATAAAATATAAAAATTTCTGTATCCAATATTCCAGCTTGACACAGAATAACAATTTGTCAGAACAAGTAAGAGTCTTAATTTATTTTTGTATATATGTAGCTTGATAAGAACCCTATTAAGGGTATACCGGTGCGTCGCGTTCCACGCGCGCCTCAAAGAGCCATCAGACCACCACAGATGGGGCCCAATAGGGCCGATGCCGATTTGGAGTCGCGGAGAACCTAACGGGTAACCGGGGCTCCGGCTCGATGTGCAGAAGAAGGAACGGGGTGGTTTTTAGTCAGTAAGAGTCTGACACTCCCTTCCGCCTCATCCAGGTGGGAGCAGACATTCGATGATTTCCCCCCTTAAAAAAAAGGGTATACTTAGGTATATAATATGTATACAGAAAATTTGAAATTGACAACCCGCAATGAGCAAGCGTGGTGATAAATGCACAAACTTTAGAAGAAGCTTTTGATCAGTGGTGGCCACTTAAGACTTGATGGGATGGCATATGATAGGTATGTAGTAATAAAAATATTGACAAAATTACCATACTAGGTACTACAGACTTGGGTCAATTACAGAGACAATTTCTTGATATATATTTAATGTTATTTTATGTTGATTTATTATCTATGAAAAAAATAATATAAAAAGAAAATCATGAAAATCCTTTCAGGATGAATTTTTGCAGAACTATGCAAAACAATATCAAAATTATCAGTTAGAAATGGCAAAGAAAAGAATGGAACAATTGCAATGGGAAAATAAGTGAGTAACGAATATTTATTATCTTTCATCATAACGTTTGTCATAAAACCTTACATTACACAAACATACAGTTAGGCTGGTACTGTTAAGCTGTTCTCTAACTGTCAATTTCAAATTTCAAAATAGCTCCATCGCATTCTCGCTCGTCATTGGCCGAGATTATTCTCATAACCAATGACATGGCGAATCGCGTACGAGTAGGTACACTTCGATATCTTTCAAATTAAAATTTATAGAACAACCTAGCTGGTACGATACTCAAGCGGAGATCCTTGTCAATTACAGTTAAAAAGAGATGGAAATACATTCATTCAACAGATACGTGCATCTCTTTTCAACTATGGTTTAGCAGAGGCCTTAGTACGAGTTTCTTTTTCGTTTAAAGTAATCGAAACGAGACCACGTTCGGCGCACTGATTGGCCGGCGCCAAGTAACCAACCAATCAGAACGCCGAACGCCGTCTCGTTTCGATTGTCGATGTCTCTGCTTGTATGTCGTTATATACTGGCCTAAAACCATTCATCAATTTACCATAATAAATAACTTGAATAACATTTTAATTAACAAAACAAAATGAAGTGTCTGAGTCTGGATATTTATGCACTTTTTTGATATTTCATAGTTATTATAGGTAGCATTATGTATGTGTATTTAGTAGTTATATAGTTTCCAACCTTAGTACTTATATTATAAGTTCGATTTTAATATAGGACTCCACATCTTGAAGGTATTGTAGATACTGCATTGAAACCTGTGAGTAATAGTTTATACTACAAATGTCGATTCTTCGAACTTTGCCTTGGTCTATCCTGTTCTAAAAAATTCACGATTTATTTTCATTGAAAAATAGTAATTAATTCTCTATCTTAAACTATCAACTTTGTCTGTTATCTTTAACAAAATCTACTATTTCTCTTTAAAAACTTTGGTAATTTTTACTTTCAATTTTATACTTCAAAGGAAATCTCTTATTTGAGAAACATGAAGGTAAGTAGAAGTAATTTACTAATTAGATGCAAGTCAAATCATCAGAAAAATAGTCTTACAAAACACTGCCAAAATAGAAGTATAGAAAAATTAATATATGTTACCATTTATAGGTAACACGACTAGAAGATATGGTACAACAATATAGCCATTTACAAGAAGACATGGAACAAAATGACTTAATCAATAAATTGATACAACCAGAAGATAAAGTCAATGAAGAACCATTTACATTGTACCAGCCTATGAACTATAAAATGTGAGTTAACGAATAATGAAGTCAAAGTCAAAGCATTTATTTATATTAAACCATAATTTGGTACTTTAGAAACGTCAACAAATACACAATAAATAATAGTCTCTCAGTCAGTCCGTCAGTCAAGCTAGGTGAAGCTAGCTGCTCATTCCAAAATGTAGATTCGAATGGAAGAACGAGCAAAAACTCCTTTCGTTACTCATTTAAAAAAAGTCTAAAATGTCTCTGATACATATTTCTATACTGTACGTATATGTGAGAAAATGGGTGTTACAGATTGTACAGTGGCATTAACTGCCGTGATGTGCACCTCTGCCTAACCCTTCGGGGATAAAAGGTGTGATGTTATGTTATGCCTTAACAATGAATTAAATAATTTAGACTTAAATTTTAATATACAGGCGCACATTGAGTAATTACGAGAATCCTCTGAGAGTAAGTTCTTTTAGTAGTCATGATTGTTCATTAAATTACTTTAATTATTAATTTTACGCAGCTGCATAGAGTAATCTGCAATTAATTACAATGTAATTCCCTCTATTATTTTTTATACATCGTTTGTAAAGGTTATATAAAAAAAACTGTTTTATGTTTTTATAGGATGTACCATTAGAACGACTAATAAATGCTCATAGAAAACTTGAACAAGAAATAGATCGAAGAAAGACTGTACTAGAAAAGTATTTGTAAGTAATATACTAACGTAATACATCACTACATATGTAGGTATGCTTAGATCTTTAAAACTACGCAACGGATTTTGATGCGGTTTTTTTTAAATAGAGTGATTCTTAAAGAAATGAGTGATTCTAGAAGGTTTATAAGTATAATAACATAATTACACCCGTGCGAAGCCGGGGCGGGCCGCTAGTTACTGATAAATAATGCCATAATGAAGACTGAACTGTTGGCGCGGTGACTGGGCAACCGGCTACAGAGCAACGTGTATAGAGTTCGATTCCCACACGGAGTAACTCTTTGTGTGATCCACAAATTGTTGTTTCGGGTCTGGGTGTTTTGTGTATGTGATATTGTATAATTGTAAACTCACACGACAAAGGAGGAAATCCTAGTGTGGGGCATCGTTGTTTTAAAAAAAAATTGCTATTAATAATGTCAATAATATGTTCCAAAAACAAATTCATAGAATCCTCTTCAATGTTTTCAATTTTATTAAACCTTTCTATATACTTGCATGATAATATTTTAATATTTACTACGCAGGAATAAGTTGAAACTGAATTCACTGAATGAAATGTCCAAAGTACCGGTAAGCAAATATTATTTTAATACAATATAACAAAGTACATTCTATTCTTTCTAATTTCAACGATCTGACTAGTTAATGGTTTGTGACACAATACAACCTATAGTTTTAATACAATCTAAATGACTTAACTTACATATCATACAATTTTTAAGGAGATATCAACTTATCAGGTAAATTCTTTATTAATTCACATAATGTACAGTAACTCACTGCATCGTTGGCCGAGTGATCGGAAGTCTGACTGCTGGGCAAGGCGTCTCGGGTTTGATTCCCACGGGGCAAAGTACTATACTGTGTTTAAAAAAAAATCTCAGTAGGTAGTAGCATGGAGTCTGGAATCATGCCTGGAGACTCGTAACATAATACATACACAGGCATTAAGTGCCTTAATTTGCACCTCTGCCTCTCCCTCTTTCGGGGATAAAATGCGTGATGTTATGCTATGTAAAGTAACTGTTATAGTGATTAACAAAAAATATTATACTACTTAGTACCATAATAATACCTTTAGGAGCAGTTTCACTGATGCCGCATAAGTCTCGCCTGTTACCTATTTTTTGGTACATTTTGTATGAAAAGATACTTCAAACATAACATAACATCACGCCTTTTATCCCTAAAGGGGTAGGCAGAGGTGCACATTATGCCACTGTACATTGTAACACCCACTTTTCACTATTTATGTTATGAGTCCCATGTAATAGGGGGTGAGCCTATTGCCATATACCTAACACAATTCCAGACTCCGAGCTACTACTGAGATTTTATTTAAAAACCCAATAATACTTTGCCCGACCCGGGAATCGAACCCGAGACCCCTTGCTCGGCAGTCGCACTTGCGACCACTCGGCCAACAAGGCAGTCTCTTCAAAAAGAGATACTTCAAAATTACTGCCAATTAGACTGACGGAAATACCTTTGCGTTAAAATAAAAACAAAGTAATAAAACCCGCACCAGCACCACCACCATCATTATAAAATGATCTTTGATAAATAAATTTCTATATGTAGATTAGTCGTCATCCCAGTACTGGAAAGCAGGTAAATGAATCAATGTATTAACCTAATGACGCTTAATGATACGAGTATATACGTACATAAGTGGTCGTTCAATATTGACAATCGACCGTAATTAATTAATAATAGCAGTGCAATCATTACCATGTGATTTTATAAAATGCAAATAAACTTCTATTATATAGTGCTTCATACTAGGGTGAAATATGTATATAAAATAAATATAGAAAAGTGTAGAAAATATTGTACAGAAAAGATCTACTTTTTGTCTAGTTGGTTATAAAAAAGGCAACTGAAATTATTCATAATGCGACTGAAGCTCAGACTGAGGTGAGTCATTAGACTTTGTCTATCAATTTTTTTAATTAGATACACATTTCATACACTTACTAGCTGTCCCGACAGACGTTGCCCTACATATCGACTTGAATTTATAAACGAAAAATCATCCAAATTAGTTCAGCCGTTTAGGATAATTAATAACCTAGACATCGACTGCAGCTCTATCTGCCGGGTTGATTTGTAAATCTAAACCATCCAGGGCGCCACTCGAACGCGTACAGAAAAATTCATTTAAATCGGTCAAACCATTTAGGGGGAGTTCAATGATATACACACGTACAGCAGAATTATATATATAAAGATAAATCGACGAAGTAAAAATATGGACGACAAACAACGACTTCATTTTTAAACATTTTTGTTTTTGTAAATATATATCGAACAGTTATCCAAAAAGAAAATTCAAAATCAAACTTTTAGAGTTATTTATATGTAATGAGTGATTAAATGAAAGACATAGTTCGGGTAGGACCGTATATTCACGACTGGAGAACTTCACGATTTGACTGAGCGCAGCCGTCGCTATATCCATGCACAGATACATCGTACCTTTAGCATAGGTACGTCACGTTATCATATTTCCTGTCATACGATGTGTCCCTACATAATAATACAAAATATTTATTTCAATTAATCCTTATTTAGACCCTTTTGAAACATTAAAATTGAATTGTCCGTCAGTTGGTCAATGAAGCTAGGTGCTCGTTCCAAAGTGTAGGCCGACGGCCCAATAATCTGCCGTCACCACTCGACACTGGTAGTATAGCCGACAACACTGTATTGGAGACTCCGTTGCCAAAAAGAAAAAAAATAGATAGTCGAATGGAAAAGAACGAGCAAGAAACTCCTTGCAACAAAATTGTTTTGATGTGAATATTGAGTTAATTTACTGAACGATCATACACATAACTGAGACAATAGAAACAATATTTCATATTAAGTTATATTTACTAGGCTTCTACAACTCACTCTTCAATCATAGATGATAAAAGAAAAATAGCAGAAGTAAGTTGATTACCTATGTACATAAAACTTATTCCCACATTTTAATAAGAAGCGAAATTTTCAATATAATCTTTCGTTGTTCTTATTATTATTATTTAAGGAATTCTTATCGAATTACAAGGTGAGTGATCCATTTGTAATTGGTGCTACCGTTATTTTGCTCACCAAATTGCGCAAATGTAACAATACATTTTTTGTCCTATCATAATAGTTGTCAAATATTGAACGTCCAATGGTGTGAGACTGGCTAATTCTCTATTGGATGAAGAGCGAGAGGTTCACACTAATGCCATTTGGCGAGTAAAAATACGATAGGCCACATTGCAAATAATTCAATAATAATAATCTATATATAAAAATGCCTCGTTGGCCGAGTGGTTGCAAGTGCGACTGCCGGGCAAGGGGTCTCGGGTTCGATTCCTGGGTCGGGCAAAGTATTACTGGGTTTTTAAAAAATTCTCAGTAGTGGCACGAAGTCTAGAATTGTGCCCGGTATATGGCAATAGGCTCACTCCCTATTACATGGGACTCATAACATAAATAGTGAAAAGTGGGTGTTACATTGTACAGTGGTATAATGTGCATCTCTGCCTACCCCTTCGGGGATAAAAGGCGTGATGTTATGTTATATAAAAATGAATCCCTTTTTCCCTTGGTCATGGCATCACGCGTGAATGGCAGGACCGATTTCACTAATTATTTTTTGTTGTGTTTGTTATTATTAGGAGAAGGACAGACTTAAGACAGAAAAAATCCAGTAAATCCCACGGGAACGGGAGAAAACGGGATTACGAGTACGAAGTCGCGGGTAGAAGCTAGTAGTACTAAAATGTTAAACAAAGATCTGGTAATTGAAAATATTTACTAGCTGTCAGGTACTAAAAATTTAATTTCATAACAGCTTACTGCTCCATTATTCCCAAGAAAACCAAAAAAGGTTGGTAAATTAAAAAAGGTAAGTCTTACAAAGCATAGATATTTTAAAAAATGTCTAATAGTTAAAGGAAATGTTGTCAAATGAATTGTATTTAAATAAAAAGTTTGGATACCGAATTATACAAATGATTAATAAAAATTATGGTTGCTGAATCTTGTTTATAGGTATTATTTATCATCATTTTTTTATAATTACAGGCCAAATCAATATTTCGCTCAGGAAATCAAACCGAGGTTTGCACTTAATACACGTATAAAATATAACAGATAACGTATAACTTAATAGTAATAATTTGTAACAATATTTTTACTACTTTTCAGAGCTCTGTAAAAACACGTACAAAAGATGACTCAACAGAGGTTAGTTTTTTTTTCCATAGAGCAACCAACGAGCATACTGCAGCTGTAGCTCAATGCCATTTATCGCTTGTCTACATATAGATTAGAAAACTAAAATATATGGGATTGACGTAAATTTTGACACTTTTCAGTGTCATCTCCATACATTTAGTTTTCTACTCTCTCTATAGACAAGTGCTAAAGTGACGTTTGGCTAAAGGCACGGTCAGATAAAACAGGCTATCTGAGGGCCTAGTACGAGATTACATTTTGTTTAACGAAATCTAAACGTTACCGACTTAGCCCTCTGATTGGTTGATTCATTGCAGCAGACCAATCAGAGCGCCGAACGTTATGAATGCGATAATCACTTACTTAATTACTCAGTCTACCTGACGATAAGAAATGGGTGTCACCCATGGACACTCGCAACACTAGATAATGTTCAAGTGCGTTACTTCATTGAGGGGATTGGAAATTTGCGTATTTGCGGATTAAGGGATATGGGGAATGGCCGAATGGTTGTGGTAATCATATTAAGAGTGATGGCAAGCTATATAATCCTACTATCTTTCGCTAGCGGTTTCGATCGCATTCCTATGAGATAAGCAGCCTATGTGTCGCTCCATACCGTAATCTAGCCTTGTTCTAAATTTCATCCTAATCACTTCAGTTGTTTTGACATGATTAAGTAACAAATATACTCACAAAATTTGGCATCTATTATATTAGTTTAAAAGTTTAAATACTCATTAATACTCATTTTGAAAATAAAAAATGTGATGCTATCATTTTTAGGATTCACAGGCTCTACGCTCTGGAGCAGAAGTAAGATATTTTTTTATTAATGAATAGTTTAATTTTGCATACTGATATTATTTAAGTGATATTAAAATTATGTTTTTCAATCGTGGCTTTATATTTATTCGACACTATTTTGTAGCTGACTTTTAAATGAAATTATTTTATTAAAGTTAAGTTTTAGTTGTATATTTTTTGTAATAGGTGTTTAGATTTTAAGATATAATATAAGCCATTTTATTTGAAATCGTTTTATCACCGTTAATAGCCAACCAAATCACCTCCGGGGAACCATAAAGTGAGTTTTATTTTGTAATGTTAAAATATTATTATTTATTATTAAAAATAATGATTGATATTTAGCATAGGTTTGTAAGTCGCTACTTATGTACCTAACCTTTTACAAATATTTCGGAAATATACCTACATATAGTAGTCAAAGTTAAAGTCAAAATCATTTATTTCAATTAGACATGTTGTTTCGTGTCTGGGTGTCATGTGTATGTGTATTAATGTACGTTTGCAAACGCACCCACGACACAGGAAGTGTGTGAAAAATGGAGTTTCTTGCTCGTTCTTCTCCACTCGAATCGACATTTTGGAACGAGCGCCTAGCTTCACTGACGGACAGGCTGACAGACTATTATTTATTTCATATTTGTTGACGTTTTAAAAGTACCAAATGATGGTTTAATTGAAATAAATGCATTTGAGTTTGAGTTTGTGAAAACGCTAGAGTGGGGCAACGTTTTAAAAAGAAAATTATGTATGCATTGCTTATACGTTTGTTTCAGGAAGAAAAACAAAAGTCAGAAAAGCCGTAAGCAATTTCAACAAAATTATAAAGAAAAATGTATATTTTTATTTAAACAACATTCTTTTCTTTATTCAACTTTTGATATAGAACTTAATTTTCAGACGACCAACATTGATGTCGGCTCCTCGAGGAATCATAACTTACGCCAAGAGAAGATCTATAAATAAGTATTCACAATAAAAATACAACCTAATTGTTATGTGATATCAGGTTGTTTTTTCGGTGTATTCAATTTATTTATATAAGAAATTATTTGCAAAGAAAATACGACTTTTATTCACGTTTCTGTTCACAATATACAATAGAAATATTAAGATTTTGATATAAATATTCATATAATACTTTTTATACAAAATAAATTATTAATACATTTGATAGCGTTCGTAAGTAATGTTAAAACTATTGTATATTAGGTACTCTTTGCATCTGTACATACTAAACAACCTACATAATTATGTGAATATTGTCATCCTTTCTCATACTTACTATGTAATTTTTTATACAATTAAATGAATATATATGTGCATAAATATCCAGACTTAGACAAATATATTCGATCTTATTTAAAAACGATTATCTTACTTACATTTAACTCACAAAGGCAGTTTTATTTCAATTCATAATTTCAACAATAAAGTCAGTAGTTTAACATATTTTATTACACGTAACAAACAACATACATTCACAACCTAAATATTATGTGGAATTATTAATGTAAAACCAATTAATCTGCTTTATTTTACAGTCATAACCATAAGGTAATTAATCAATTTATATTTTTTAACATACCTAATCGCAATTATATAGACTCCAGTCGAATAGAAAAAATAAAATAATCAATGTACATACGTATGTGAAATCGACAGAAACATACGACTTCTTATTTTGCAGTACCATTAATAGTTTATGTAATTCTACAATAAATCTCCTGATCGATTTTGATCATGGTGGCCAATCTGTCTAACTAGACTACGCAGGAGATCTTATAGTGCACAAGTGTTTACGCAAACACAGATACTCTATCAGAGTGCCAAGCACGAAAAAAAATCGCATTCGTAACGTAATAGTATCGAGCGCGTTCGGAGCTCTGATTGGCCAGCTCAAGTGAACCAACCAATCAGAACGCTTAACTCGCTCGATACTGTTACGATACGAGCATTCGTATGCAGTACGAACGATAACAGAGGGCCAAGCACGAATTACTATCGCATGATAGTTATTTGTGCTTGGCCCTCTGCTCCCTCACTCACTGAACTCGATGGGACGGCAAACGCTACGACCGGAGAAATGGTCAGGCACAGGAACGACGGCTTTGCATGCTTTCCGATGCACCGGGTGAAACACAGCTGAACTTTGTAACTCCGGGCTGATAATGGTCACTTTACTCAGAAAATTCCACTGTCACTTTTCGACCTGAATATAGCTGCAGTAGCATAATTATTATCCTTCATTACAATGCATTATAAAATACATCTCCAGAGTGAGAAACCGGTGTTTTTATTGTTGATAATATGATAAACTAGATTACAGGTATAATACAAACATGTCATAATGATTACAGATTATTCTGCAAAAACTTCGAGGTCATAGGGTGTCAGACAAATATAGGAAGAAAAAGTAATAGTTTTAAAGCATTATTATATTATTTAATTTGTAAGATCTTGTTAAATTAAAAAAGTATCGTTAACCGACGAGCATGCTTCAAAAGACTGATGACTGTTGATGAAGCGAAAGAGGTCACATAGTAAGAATCGTAGCAATTGGCGTTCCATAGTCTCTACCCACCGCCATGGGAGATAGGCATGAAGTTATGTTTATACATACATAACATGTATGGGATCTTGTTGTTTCATTAACATTTTTGTATGTCTATATTACTAATATTATGAAATAAAGATTATCTTTACCAGTTATAATGTGGTTATAATTTGGACAATTTTAATTTAATAATCATTAGTATTAGAATGAATAGATAGATTTACTAAATAATATTGTAATCTTAATTTGTTCCAGACCCAATAAAAGCTATGCCGTAAGTATTGTTTCATAAATGGATGTTTATCAAATACCTAACCTTCTAATTTAAATAAAACAAGTAAGTAACAGAGATTTTGAATATAATACGTATAAATGCAATTACAGTACAATTCTACCCAAAATACGTACCTAAAATATAGTATGTTTCATTATTATTACCAAAACAAATTTAACTTATCGAGTAAATCTTTACAAGTCATAGTTAAATCAATTTATTTAAATATATAATCAATTTATTCAAATAAGACTAGGAAGGCACTTTTGAACATCAAACAATAAAAACTTAAGTGTCAGTCTGTTCTCTAGTGAGGCTATTGACTCATTCCAAGGTGTTGATTCCTATGGATAAAAACGAGCAAGAAACTCCATTTGTTAAGGTTATATTAGACGGTTTATTTTTGTCTTTCATTCGGCAACTTTCACTCACAGTAATACGTCTATACTCACAATGAATTAAATTAACTACCAATGTGACATTTTCCAAGTTATATGTACTTTCTGAGATTATTTAGACGTCACTGACAAACGGTGAAGGAAAACATCGTGAGGAAACCTAGGCTTATAATTTCTAATTATAAGTTTAAAATAACCAACCCGCGAAAATAACCAACCACCAAATAATTGAGCAAGCGTGGTGATTAGTGCTCAAACCTTCTCCGTGTGAGAAGAGGCTTTGCTCAACAGTGGGCATTTATAGGCTGTTGATGATGATGGTGATAATGACTTAGAATGAAAACAAGAGTGCAGAATAAATTCACTAGTGAACCGATCCAACAATATTGGACTTTGGCATTCGATAAAGATAAAGATCGTTTAATTGCCAAAACATATGTAGGTTATAATAATACCTACATGCAAAAATGAATGTTTACTATAGATGTACAGTATTGTTTGTATTAACATGCTTAACCATAAATGGTTTACAAATATTAATTAATGCAATAAATCCATAAGTAAATGTCAAGATGAACTAATAGTGTCAATAAAAATGAAATAATAAAGTCAATAGAAATAAGTCATAAGAAACAAATAGGATAGAATAATTACAATGTAAGTGTTACAATTTAAATATCATTACGTTCAATCAGTCAAACACAGCTGTTGCTAAGAAATGACAATGACCAAATTTGTATGGAGCGTGGTGCCTTTTTGTTTTTTCGCGGCAGTTGATCGGATGTGGAAAAACTGATGCAGAATAACATTACAAACAAAAAAATATATGGGGCCTTATATCAAAAACACAGTCCGAACTGAGTTAAATCAGTTCAAAGATGTGAAAATAGTGCCATATTATTCCTGTTATTTTGTTGATAACCGACCGTACACAACGTATATTTCTTCATACTTCATACTTTTCAGAAATATTTTATAATAAATGTTTATAAACGATTTCAAAGAATATAATAAAGCTTATTGTGAACTTTTTTACTTATTTTTTTTTTTTATATATGGCCACGGAATCAGAACCGAGTGAACCATTAACTGGCTACTGCTGAAGTAAAAAAAAACATTTCGCTTGATTGGCTAGTGTGTTCACTTTATATGTAACTATACGGTTTATGGCCTACGACCGATTTTAATGATCAATTTCCTCTCAGTCGAAAACTCGCAAAATACTTTACTGAGCCCTATCATGAAATGCTATGTTTGTGACCTGCAGCGTCGGTAGCGGATTGAGTAGCGGCAGTCGTCAAAACTCAAAAAATCATTTTTCTGTCTACTTCTTCCGACTTACTCCGGATTAGTAACTAATCTAACTACAGTTAATACTTTAATCGACAGCTAGCATAAGATTCTGTACAAAGATATCGTCATTCAGTCACAAAGTGATGGATTATATTACGACTGATCACATTACATGAAAAATATATGCGCTCATCTGACGTATAGTCCATCACTTTACAAAGTCGACGGTTTCTTTTCTTCAAAAGATTATGCTAACTATAAAGTAGATGAGTCTCCCACCAGGAGTCAATGGCAAAAAAAATACTTTATTAGATGTTTGGACGGCTACCACTACCCAACCCACCACTGTTACGACAGCTGAAGCTCATGAAGCTTCCTAATACAACTCCTAGAAGCATCCCACAAGTTATCGACTGAGAGAAAATAGCTAATAAAAATTAGTGCCTGGCAATATGGATATATTGTGGTGTGATATGGTGTTCCTGTGTCCGGCGTACAGTGGCGCGCAATTTGAAGTTAGGAATTGTGACAAAAATATGAATAATTTGAATAAAAAATCCAAAGTAAAATGTTTGACTCCAGCTCCTTTCAACGCTCATAACTCAGTCCAGACTGAGATTTCCATATATGAGCTCATAGACAATTTCGTTTGTAATGTCATTTTACATAATATTTTCCATAAATCATCGACTGCCGCCAGAAAAAAGAAAAGCACCAATTTTAGTCAATGCCCTTTAATTCATTAACATTATGATATCATTCACTCACTCGGAATGAACAAAAACTGAACTGTCTGCACACAGAGTGAATATTTACTCGGATTAGATTAAATGATACAAATTCAATACCTTTTCAAATTTAAAATAACAGAGTAGGTATCGATGCAAAATAAAATATTATAACTAACATCTATTTTCTACTTTGATTGTTGTGTTTTTATATTGTTTCAATCCCTTCATATCAATTCATATACATATACAAACTGTAATAAATTATATTTCAGTACGTGTACCTTGACTTAGAACAGTTAGAAAATGTCATAAGAAAATATAGACGGCAGCAAGGTGAAGTATCAAGTGAAACCTATATTGCTGAGCTGAAGGACATACCGTTTGATGATCCTGCCGTCAGCTCGGATGATGATGATGACGATGATGCGACATCTAAACAAGTTAATACGAAACCTGGCTCCAAACAGAACTGGTTCCAAAATTCTGTGGTAAGGTTGTTATTTTTATATATTATACTAGCGGACCCAACAGACGTTGTCCTGCATATCCACTTGAATGTACCTATAAACAAAAATTCATTCAAATTAGCTGTTTAGGATAAATAACCTAAACATCGACTGCAACGCCATCTGCCGGGCTGATTTGTGAATCTAAACCATTCCCAGATCCCTTTGAACACACACAATTTTTTTTATCAAAATCGGTTCAGTCGTTTGAGAGAAGTTC